ACTTGACTTGACTAGTGCGCATGCGCGCGTTACAGGGTCCAACACGTATTGGACCATCCAGCTACGTCATCGTGCTACAGGCTGCAGCGAGGGGTGTCTCGGTTTTGACGCATGCTTAGAACCCCAAGGTGAGGTCTAGTGTATATGTCTATGATTTTATCCAAGGAACCGGGATGTTTGAGCAGGTGTGAGGGAGTCGCCAGTCAATGACGTCAGATCCGCGTTACCCTCGGTTTCCACACGTACTGCCATAGTAACCATGGTGACAGACGTCAGTGGTGTAGTGCAGGGTATACGCAGGTATACGGCGTATACCCACTTCCTTTTCAGTCGGCATTGCGTATACCCACTTCTAAATCCCCTCTGATGCGCATCATTTAGTTGCTACTCCAATTTCGTGAATAAAAAAAACACCCAGTTAGAGTCGTACCCGTAATATTAACTCTAATTTGTTGCTGCAATGATTCTCCCATCGCGACGATAACTGACCTTCTCATCTGATCTGCTTCAGCACTCAAACACCTGCTCGTCAATGTCAAAATGTTCGTGAGACCAATCAAAGAATGCAGGATTTTTGTTCATAGAAGCGCGAGCCGAGCGCGAATCCCAACGCGACGCTTCACTTCAGTTAACGATCATACAGTATTTAAGATCCAAGTAGGCAGCTCAAATTTACGGCTGATTTTCAAAACGTTTTAAATGACCGACAGAAATAATCAGTTTGATTAAAGACAATGAAAATTATAAGCTCAATTTAACAACACAAGCACCCTATTAAATATTGCCATTATTATTGTATAAATATATTTGTATAACGTTTTTTCGAATGTGTTTGACTTTTCACTGTTTGTAGGCTATAACTCCGCTTGTCTGCGTTTGCGCCACTTGCATCATTAAGCCAGAGGGTGGCGACAAGTGACTGTCTTTTTGAGTGAGCAATTGAACCATTAATTAAATTAACAGATTAGTCCAAAAAAACATTGATTAATTTAGGAAAGAAAAGTCGCTGAAACTGGAACCGATTCTCATGTTTAAGAATCTGATCAAATAGGCTAGCCTACTTCATGCTTTTAAAGCTACTGTTGTCAATTTTTTGGCCATCAAAACACCTTAAAATGCTCATTTCGAGATCAGGAAAATCAAAATTTTCTCGGGGGGGCATGCCCCCGAACCCCCCTAACAATATCATTTATGGGACCTGGCACCTGGGTATTTAGAAAACTATATGTGTGGCCCTGATATGCAAGAATACTAGCTTATTGATTCTATGTGTTCTATTGTATTCATTATACTTTATTCTATAGTCTTGCATATTGAATACTAATGCAAGACTACATGTAGTAGTCTTATGTCACTGTTTATGACACAGAGCGTTCATCCTTTGCTGGGACGCTTAAAAAAATATTGGGGGCAAAAATTAAGAGTATACCCACTTCTCCAGGCACCACTACATCACTGACAGACGTGGACAAGTGGGTTACGCCTAGCTCACGCTGTTGTTATTTTGTTCAAAATTATGGACCATGGCAAGCAGACTTTGAGACAAAAAGAGGACTAAAATGAGGATCAGTGTCATTTTCGAGATGCCGAGAGATCCACGTCCGCGACTAACTTCTAACGCAACTCAACTAACGCGAGTGTTGCATTTACTTTATTAGACAGGTGAGCAAATGTACATAAAACGAATCAATGTTATATAGTTCAACAAGATTAAATGTTAGAATAGGATCTTTATGTTATTTAATGTTGATCTAGCTAGCTTCTAGTCTCATACAGCCAACAAACTAACACATAGAATAACATTCAACACCCTCAAATGGCGTTTAGTGTGATAGTGAAATTGTTAGAGCAAGTGAAACAGTGTTGCATTAACTCATGTATAATTCATCTTATAAACTGACCTGTGTGAGTAATTCAGCACTTGTGGGTAGTTCGGTAGAATTAATTGTCCTTAATCCTTTATATCCGCGGGACTCGTGTGTGGTGCTGATATCTGTCTCTCATTAGCAATCGCGCCCTGCTTCATACCACAGTTATGATAAAAACATCAATATTTTCACTCATCCATAAACATTATTAGATCCATCATCTTGACAAGATCCATAATTTCCGCTTAATGCTTTGCGTCATCAACCTACGCCCTTGTTATTGTAAGAGGTTGGTGAAAACAAATTACATATTGTAGCTTTAAATATTCATGAGCTTTATATAGTCACAGCAACTTACATTCATTTTTTTAAGTTTCAGCATCTGAGGAGAATAGTTTAAAATGTTGAACAAGTGGATTCAAGTCTTCATTTTGCATCAACTCGGCTTTGTTTTAAGTTTTTCAAAACGCTAAAACTTTTAAATGGTTTAAATGGTCTCAGGCCTGGTTTCACAGACAGGGCTTAGACTAAGCCAGGACTAGGCTTTAGTTAAATTAGGACATTTAAGTAGCTTTTATAAACGTGCCTTAGAAAAAAACATTACTGCTGTACATCTTCAGACAACGCAATGGCACTTATGCCTGGTTCAGATTACATGATTTTTTTTTATTAAGTGGTGAGTGTTGTATTGGCTGTCCTGTGTTAAAAAAAAAGTAAAAAGAAAGAAAATCCGACAATGGACACGTTCCTGGATTGCTCCAAGAGGACAGTATGGGCTGTCAATCCTCCAAAGAGAACTTGAGGTAAAATATTGTTTTCTCAATATATTTTTAGTTTTAACGTTATAGCACCATCGTCTTTCTTTCGTTTCGCCATTTTTGAAAGTCGTATACGGAAAAGCTTGTGCTCCTATTGGTCAACCTCATGTGACGGAACCGTCGTGGACGACCGTTAAAAAAATTAAACACGCTAGTCTTTTTGTCGTGATGTCGTGAAGCATCGCAGACGCCACATAGGTTGTCGCCCACTATGACACACTATACGAGATGAAACGATAGAATCTTGCGTCCCGACACCCATTGTCGTTTACGAATCCCCACGACATCCTACGTCAAACGGATCGTGCCAAAATCGGGCTAAAATCGTGTAATCTGAACCAGGCATTACGTATTTTAAGATATGTCAGTGCATGTTGCTTCCAGTTAAAGGATTAGTTCACTTTTGAAAAAACTTTTGCTGATAATTTACTCACCGAAAGTACAGAGTCAGTGTTTACAAGTTGAACGCATAGGTTGAACGTGCAAACTAACTCAAACACCGTTTACAAAAAAAAGGAATTAAAAGGAAAAACAACGATGTCGGACGATTTTGATTCTGTACTTCCGGCTACGTCGCCCGTGACCTTTTGAACGTAATTACGTAATACGTGACGTTGCAAACGCGCCTCAGAGAATATAGCAAGGTTAGCATTTGTCCTTAGAAAAGTTACATTTTTGGAATAAGTTTTGAAATAACCGATCGTTTCGCATGATAAGACCCTTATTCATCGTCTGATATCGTTTAAAGACATTTGAAGCTGCATCTGAAACTGTTATTAACACTGTCTTTTGGACCTTGAACCATCCGGTTCCCATTGAAGTCCATTATATGGAGAAAAATCCTGGAATGTTTTCATCAAAAACCTAAATTTCTTTTTGACTGAGGAAAGAAAGACATGGACATCTTGGATGACATGGGGGTGAGTAAATTACCAGCAAAAGTTTTTTCAAAAGTGAACTAATCCTTTAAAACAGCTGAAACATGCATTTTAGTCTGGGAGTAGACTTAAGCCTTGTATGTGAAACCGGGCATCAAACTTCGACTTCACCAAATGTTGCGACCTTTCCTCAAATTATTATTAAATCAGGTTGAAAGCTCCTCTTGTCCTTCCTTTTCCAATCTTGTAATCTTGTACGCACACACAAACGTTGCCCCAGGGTGTACAGAGTAAAATCTTGAAGCCTTGAAGGCAAGACTAGTTACAAGACCACCAGGATTGAGTTTAGCAAAGGATGATTCTCTCTCTAGATGATCTGCTAATATACAATTCATTAAACAGGACATCTGTGAGTTTACGTTGTTCGGCTGTATAATTTCCCCCATGTTATGTTGGTGTTGAAATGATCATTAAGCAGATGTTTAAAAAGGGAAAAAGGCAATAAAACAGGTGGGAGACGTCTGAAACTCCTCTGTGTTGATGTGCTTGGAAACTGCATTTGTAACAATAGTCATTAGTAGTGTCACATGTGGGCCGGTTTGTTGACTGGCTTTCTTCCACATCCTGCTGGATTTTCATTCAGCGTTTAGATAGTAATATGCTGATTTAAAGCATTTAAATGAGGCCGGGTTGTGTCAAACGCAGCCTATAATCTGCGCTAACACCCTCTGAAGTGTTTGCTCAGCTGTCCATAGAGAAACCTGAAGATTATTCCTGTTTACAGGCGGCGGGTGACACACGGATAAATGTCAAAATATTACAGACGTCAAGCTGTTCGAAATATCTTGAGACTAGTCTGTTTTCCTGCCAGCTTGTTTTTGGTTTGTTTTTCTTTTGTATTGTTTAATGTCTTTTCTCATTTTGAAAATTGTTGTTGATTCCCTGTGTGCTAATTTGTGTTGTGCATAAACTGTGTTCTCTTGTTTAGAGCCAAATGTTGAAACTCAACCTTACTTGTTGCTTTATGCACATTGTTTTAACATGCTGTTTTTATAAATATTGGACGTGGGATATTTCAACTCTCATCAAAGCGTCATGTGATTTATTTTATGCTTTTTTTAAACTTTTTTTTTTAATATTTGCAAATGACCATTAATGAATATTAAATGTTTAAACTTGCATTGTTTTATATCTAAAGTCAGATTGTTATGTCATTCTTTTGGGGGGGTTCTTAGTTTGGATTTAGTTTGTCTACTTAGTAGTCACACTATTAACTTTGTCAACAAAAAAGACTCTTGGGTTGAGCTCGAGTCTGTTTGATGCTGTGATATAAACTGAAAGAGCAGCCCATCTGATCTGATATCTGTTCTTCTGAGACACCTGCGTTGAGTACACGTGTCAGTCTTCATGTCTCATTTTCTCTCTCTCTCTTTTAGATGAGACGTCGTTCGAGGCGGGAATCAAAGTCCAGATCCACACACAGGATGAACCGCCTTTCATCGATCAGCTGGGATTCGGAGTGGCTCCAGGCTTCCAGACGTTCGTCTCCTGCCAAGAACAGCGGGTACCAAATGATTGTTCTTTTTGTCAATTTCTCGGTTGCTGGACTCGTCTCAAAGCGCAGGACGCCGTCTGTGTCAGTGGGTTGTTTTAGTCCTTGGTTTTGGGTTTCACAGCTGCTTGTTTTTATTAATTTATTTGTTGTTGTTGTTTGAACGCATTAATGTGAAGTATCTCGACTCCTTTACCCCATTATTGGCATCATGACGTTAATTTTGATGCAAATTAAGACATTTTTCAAGCCCAATGTCTCAAATTTTCCTTATATTTTATGAAAAGTATTCATATACAATGGTAGTTGTTGTACTACCTTTAAAGGAGTAGTTCACTTTTAAAAAATACTTTTGCTGATAATTTACTCACCCCCATGTCATCCAAGATGTCCACGTCTTTCTTTCTTCAGTCGAAACGAAATTAAGGTTTTTTAGGATTTTTCTCCATATAATGGACTTCAATGGGCACCAAACTGTTCAAGGTCCGAAAGACAGTTTCAGTACAAACTGCAAAACGTTCAAAGGGCTTTAATCGACACCAGACGATGAATAAGGGTCTTATCAAGCGAAACGATCGCTCATTTCAAAAATAAATAGCCTAACAAAGTTTTATAAGCTCAAATGCTCGACTTGCTCTGTTCTGTGTGACTCTCTCGTTCGAATTCGTTCATCAAAATGAATGAATCTTTTTCCGAGTCAATTCGCTCATTTTGTTTGTTGAATGAGCATTTGAGCTTATAAAACTTAAACTTTGTTATTTATTTTGTAGATGGGCGATCGTTTTGCTTGTTAAGACCCTTATTCATCGTCTGTTGTCGTTTAAAGCCCTTTGAACAGTTTGTAGTTTGCACTGAAACTGTCTTTTGGACCTTGAACTGTTTGGTTCCCATTGAAGTCCATTATATGGGGAAAATCCTGGAATGTTTTCATCAAAAACCTTAATTTCTTTTCGACTGAAGAAAGAAAGACATGGACATCTTGGATGACATGGGGGTGAGTAAATTATAAGCAAACGTTTTTTTTTTAAGTGAACTACTCCTTTAAGGTTATTTTTTGAGAATAACAAGACTTATTGTGGTAATAGACCTTTCTCACAACTTCCGTATTTGGGACCGGAAATACGCAATTGTCGTGGTAATCTTCTTCCGCTCCATTCATAACAGATAGCGCCGCAGGCAACTAGTGAGAGTTGTTGCGCACAGATCTTTTTTGTTATTCCCAAAAGCAGCCATACCTGTCGTTTTCATTCCTTCCCTCGTCAGTTCCCTGTCGATGAAGTTCGACGGAAATGGATTCAGGCAATCTGGCGGGATGTTATTGATCCTGTGATCTTCTGTACTTCTCTCATGTCACTAAGCCGTCATTGTTTATGTTTATTTTTTATGTTTTATGATTTGTGTATTTTGAAGTAACGTTAGTTCATGCTCAACTTTATTAAGATATTTGTATCCAGCGGAATAAGCACATAAAAATATACACCACAATATAAAACAAGATAAATAAGAACACACCCCAGACAGCAAACTGACATTGAATCAACGTGGAAACGACGTCTCTCATGACATTGAAACAACGTTGATTTTGCTCATCGAATTAACGTTGAACCAACGTCAGACGCGGCATTCTTCAAAGCTAAATGAAAATCGAAAATTGGTTTGCTTTCATAACGTTGAAACAACGCATTGATTTCAAGTTGATTTTCCGTTAGTTTTGAAAGAATGACGCGTCTGACGTTGGTTCAACGTTAATTCGATGAGCAAAACAATGTCAGATCAACGTTGTTTCGATGTCATATTTCCACGTTGATTCAATGTCAGTTTGCTATCTGGGACAACAGTGGGCTACATATAAATGTAAAATATTAATATATACCATTCTGAGTATTTAACAATCTGAGTGTACAAGGGATAAATTAATATTTGTATAAATTGTTCTTCATCTTTGATCGTTCTATAGCAAGAGCAGTGCAAAAAACTCATTACCCCTAGAGGATAACTGTTGAATAAAACTGACAGACTTCTTTCTGGTATTCACATCAAAATGCAGTTTATTGTAAATAATACTCCCTAAATATTAATAACTTTCCACACACTCCACCTTCTTACCTTTAATGAACGTATATTGGGAAGAATGAGCTTCAGTTCTGAAATCAATATCATATCTTTGGTCTTAGATACATCAGCTGCAGTCAAGCATCACCACAGCATTTTACAAAGTCATCAACAACTGGACCATGACAAGTTTACATTTTTTTTTTGAAGTTTTGAAGACTCTCTGATCAATTTTCTCCTCACAGAGTAGGTTTTTCTGATGTGTCGACAGTTGACGGGAACTCCGTTTCCACAACGATTACGTATTTCCGGTTTTTGTGAAAAAGGTCTATTGATGAGAATTTTTCCAATTTTAGTTGTGAGATCTGCCTAATTGTATTGATTAAGTCAAATGCAAAATCTCATGGTCAAAAAAATATGCTTAATTTTCTCTATTCAAAACTTAGTTTCCTGTTTTTTGATGTGGACAGCTTTTTGAGATTCATCCAAGAAGAAATTCGGTCTCCCACCAACACAAACATGATTTGATTTTCAAATGAGAGCAAACGGCCGACACAGGTCGACCCTGCTGTACGGATACATATTATTTATTTATAGGATTCTCAGAATCCATATTTAATTTTCATGGCAAGGCCACGTCATAAAATAAAAACAGCAGCTTTGTTTCTGTGAGCGAAAGAAAGAGGTGAACTCCAGGCATGTGTGATCAATAAACGAGCGTCAAAGAGACGGGCTGAAGATCTGACTCGCTCCAGACAGACAGAAAGCTGGTTGATATGCACAGACGGCTCCCTGCTCCTTGTAATTGGAGGTCAGTGCATCTCCCATGTGTGGTGGATTGATTTCAGTAACATTTCCCCTCATTTATTTTCCTCTTACACAAAGATCAAGTCTGCGTCTCCAGATGCGTCACCAAGATTCGATGTCACTGGCTTTTACAGGATTAGCATCCATCTCTGTCTGTCGCTCTCATCATGGTTCACACAGTCAGCGTTTAGGATTGACAGCCGTATTTACTAATGGATGTGGCGCTCAGATTGCCCTGGGCCGACAGGAGCAGATCGAATAATGTCTGCATAGACATCTGAGTTAACTTAAGTCAATCCACTTCAATTACTCAAACAATGAGTGCAGCCCTACAGACAGATAACCATAGATCTCAAGATTTCTAGAGAGGGCAACTTATTTCAGGGCCCTCTTCACCACCTTTCGCCTCGCCAGCGACGGCCCTGCTTAACAAGAATTATGTGTTGTTCTAAATCCACACAATAAGGTTTTTTTTTTTGTTTTTTTTTTTGTTTTGTTTTTTTTGGGGGGGGGGGGGGGTTCAACTTCAACTATTTAAAAAAAATAGTTACAATTAACACATTTTAGCTGGATTTAATTAGGCTGAATTAAATTTTTAAAGTTCCCCTAAAGTAAATAATTTTATCCCTTAAAACCCATCTTTGATCTATGGAAGCTTGTTTCTGCCACAGAATGAAAAATAAAAGGAAGGAAAGGAAATTGGATTGAAAATTAGTGCTAAATTGCAACTTTTTGTCTCACAATTGTGAGTTTACATCTTGCAATTCTGACTTTATAACATGCAATTCTGACTTTATATCAGGCAATTCTGACTTTATATCATGCAATTCTGACTTTATATCTCGCAATTCTGACTTTATATCTCGCAATTATGACTTTATATCTCGCAATTCTGACTTTATATCAGGCAATTCGGACTTTATATCTCGCAATTCTGACTTTATATCACGCAATTCTGACTTTATATCAGGCAATTCTGACTTTATATCACGCAATTCTGACTTTATATCTCACAATTCTGACTTTATATCTCGCAATTCTGACTTTATATCTCGCAATTCTGACTTTATATCTCGCAATTCTGACTTTATATCTCGCAATTCTGAAATAAAGTCGCAATTGCGTGATATAAAGTCGCAATTGCGTGTTATAAAGTCAGAATTGCGTCATTACGTGTTATAAAGTTGCAATTGCGTGATATAAAGTCGGAATTGTGTGTTGTAAAGTCAGAATGCGTGATATAAACTATTCTGAAAAGTTTTATAAACTATTCTAATAGTTTATTACAACTTTTTTCCCCTTAGAATTGGCCTGATAATTCGCAATTGCGAGTTTCACATATCTCACAATTCTGAGAAAATATGTCAGAATTTCTAGATATAAACTCGCAATCATGTGTTTATAAAGTCAGAATTGCGAGATGTAAACTTGCAATTATAAGAAAAAAAGTCAGAATTGTAAGATAAAAAGTTTTTTTTCTCTCAATTGCAACTTTATTTCTCAGAATTGCAACTTTATATCTCACAATTGTGACTTTAATATCTCACAATTGTGAGATGAAAAGTCGCAATTATTTTTATATTAATTTTTTATTCAGTGGCAGAAACAAGTTTCCATATTGATCACCAAATTGAAAAAAAATGAAAAATTCCTGTAAATTTTTTTCATACCTTAAAATAGCTTAAATGCAACTCTACTTTATAACCATTGCTTCATTTATAAGGCTGCACCCACTCACACCAGCTCAGAGATTCACTCGGCAGACTCACTGAGGTATACACTGCTCTTTACAACGTCAGACACATAACTGTAATTAATATGATTAGCCTTTTGCTTAATTATGTTATCAAACAGCTAATAATGTGTTGCTAATGTTATCCAAACTATGTTCTCGTTCTCCATCTCAGAGTCAGACCGCTGCCTTCTAAACAATCATCAGAAACGCTTTGAACAACTCCAGTGGGAAAAGGCATAAAGTTAATCATAACATTGTAATATACAGTACAAAATTCACTCGCTATATTGATGAATCTAACCGATTTTTCATATCAACAGAAAATATACTGGCACAACCTTGCTACTCCCCTGCTAGTTCGCTGTTAATGATTTTCTAAACCATATTTTTGAGACTGTCTTTGGTTCACTGCAGTTTTAAGAAATATACTTAGCAATGGTGTTGACTTATGAATTTGCACATGGTTTGATATATTAATCATATTAAAAACACCACATAGACATTAAACAACATTAAAAACTTGATTAAAGTCTTTTTTTCCACTGACCCCAGGGCATTATGGGATTGGATACATGCCAAAACAATGTATCTTAGAAGGCAGCACAATGATGCCGCATGTCTTTAAGAAAACCGCTCATGTTGAAGACCTATATTGGCAGCTTACAAGGTTTCAGAGCGAAGTCAACATGTCAGATGCTGTCGGTAGAGCTCGCGTTGTTTTGAATCTAAAACATTGCTTAAAGGCTTTATGTAGGAAGTTTATGGGTAGAGTCGAGGGTGAATTCATAAGCAGTGGCGTTATGTAAAGCATTAGCTCGTCTTAGCTTTTGTGTCTGGAGTTTGTGTGTGTTTTTATCGCATATGCAGCATTTGTTTATGGTGTGTGTGCATTTCTTAAGATGATACTGAGGTGTCTTCAGGGATTATAGCGTTGTCCAAAGCTGAGTGAGCTGCCTACCTAGACCCATGTTGGCTGCATTATCCAGCCTTTTAAGATAAAGGCAGCATAAAATAATGCATTTTTATGAGCTCAGTTTGAAAAATGGTCTATATCCACCTTATTTTGTAAAGCAGAAGTAAGCTATTTTCTTCCAATTCATTTGCTGCTATTGGTAAATAACTATACCAAATAAACAGTAAAACTATTTGCGCTACTAACCATTGAGCATATAATCATACTAAATTAAAATATGATAACAACCACCAGTTTGTAATATCAAGCAGCAAAACAGATTGTTTTAAGCCTGGTCTTAATCTCCTGTGTTTAATTTAATAAAAATAGCTGTACTTTGTTGAACTGTTGGAAGCAATTGTGATTGAGTTTCTTGTACACACTTTCATGTGGGGAGCGATATTTGATTTGCTACCTATGTACACTTTACATAATATTTCTAAGGAATACACCTAAGATAAAAGCAGTAATTCACTGTTGATATTTCTTTCTTTCTGTCATGTAGCTGACGTATCTTCCTCCTCCGTGGGGCGACTGCAAGTCTACGCCAATGGACTCTGAATTCTACAGCACATACAGTATCACCGCCTGCCGCATCGACTGCGAGACGCGCTATCTGGTGGAGAACTGCAACTGCCGCATGGTGCACATGCCCGGTAAACAAACACACACATGAAGAAATCCATCAACAGATTAGTGGTGCATTGGTCCCTTAATGACACGTCCGATTCGCAAACTAATGACTCCTTTGAACCGATTCACTTTAATGAACTGATCCGTCCAACACTGAACTCAAGACACTCCATGACAAAACCACCCCAGCCATTCTAGAATGATTCATTCTTTCCAAATAGAGCTTCAAGTCATCTGGTGATATCGCAATGTTATTTTTTACCAATATCGTGCAGCCCTAATCCTTGCTATATGTTTTCTGTACAGAGATATCAAAATTAGTAATTATTGGTATCGGCCACAACAGCAATATTAATATCGGTATCGGCCACAACAGCAATATTAATATCAGTATCGGCCTCGGCCTCGGCCACAACAGCAATATTAATGTCGGTATCGGCCACAACAGCAATATTAATGTCGGTATCGGCCACAACAGCAATATTAATGTCGTATCGGCCACAACAGCAATATTAATGTCGGTATCGGCCACAACAGCAATATTAATGTCGGTATCGGCCACAACAGCAATATTAATGTCGGTATCGGCCACAACAGCAATATTAATGTCGGTATCGGCCACAACAGCAATATTAATGTCCGTATCGACCACAACAGCAATATTAATGTCGGTATCGGCCACAACAGCAATATTAATATCGGTATCGGCCACAACAGCAATATTAATATCGGTATAGGCCACAACAGCAATATTAATATCCGTATCGACCACAACAGCAATATTAATATTGGTATCGGCCACAACAGCAATATTAATGTCGGTATCGGCCACAACAGCAATATTAATATCCGTATCGACCACAACAGCAATATTAATGTCGGTATCGGCCACAACAGCAATATTAATGTCGGTATCGGCCACAACAGCAATATTAATGTCGGTATAGGCCACAACAGGAATATTAATATCCGTATCGACCACAACAGCAATATTAATATTGGTATCGGCCACAACAGCAATATTAATGTCGGTATCGGCCACAACAGCAATATTAATATCAGTATCGGCCATAACAGCAATATTAATATCGGTATCGACAGCAATATTAATATGAGTATCGGCCATAACAGCAATATTAATATCGGTATCGGCCACAACAGCAATATTAATATCAGTATCGGCCATAACAGCAATATTAATATCGGTATCGGCCACAACAGCAATATTAATATCAGTACTGGCCACGACAGCAATATTAATGTCGGTATCGACCACAACAGCAATATTAATGTCGGTATCGGCCACAACAGCAATATTAATATCAGTATCGGCCATAACAGCAATATTAATATCGATATCGGCCACAACAGCAATATTAATATCAGTATCGGCCATAACAGCAATATTAATATCGGTATCGGCCACAACAGCAATATTAATATCAGTATCGGCCATAACAGCAATATTAATATCGGTATCGACAGCAATATTAATATGAGTATCGGCCATAACAGCAATATTAATATCGGTATCGGCCACAACAGCAATATTAATATCAGTATCGGCCATAACAGCAATATTAATATCGGTATCGACAGCAATATTAATATGAGTATCGGCCATAACAGCAATATTAATATCGGTATCGGCCACAACAGCAATATTAATATCAGTATCGGCCACGACAGCAATATTAATGTCGGTATCGACCACAACAGCAATATTAATGTCGGTATCGGCCACAACAGCAATATTAATATCAGTATCGGCCATAACAGCAATATTAATATCGATATCGGCCACAACAGCAATATTAATATCAGTATCGGCCACAACAGCAATATTAATATCGGTATCGGCCACAACAGCAATGTTAATATCAGTATCAGCCAGAACAGCAATATTAATATTGGTATCGGCCATAACAGCAATATTAATGTCGGTATCGGCCACAACAGCAATATTAATATGAGTATCGGCCATAACAGCAATATTAATATCGGTATCGGCCACAACAGCAATATTAATATCAGTATCGGCCATAACAGCAATATTAATATCGGTATCGGCCACAACAGCAATATTAATATCAGTATCGGCCATAACAGCAATATTAATGTCGGTATCGACCACAACAGCAATATTAATATCCGTATCGGCCACAATTTTCAAATCGGTGCATCACTACAACAGATCTATTACACAACACACATGACCGTGTCATATTTGGTTATCTGTGTTAATCTCTTGTGAGCAACAAAAAACAAATTTTTTTAAATGTAAGTGCAAATATTTCCACTGAAGTCGTTTTATTTTGTATCCCAATTCTCGGTTAAACCATCATAAAATCTTTAACTAGAATAAAAGACTCTAAGGACGGCTCTCAAAGTCTCATCGTTTTTGGTGCGTCTCCATGTTAGTGTGTTTTTGCCACCAATAAATGAATGTCTCGTATTTTGTTGCTTGTTATTCTTTTTCAGAATGAAATGCCGTTGCCTTTTTAAGCCTGTGATGATTTTAAACCCTTGCTGTGCTCCTAAAGCTGTTTAGCACGTCTTGCTTTAATTCTGGTTGCTAGTTTTTGGGCTTAATGAAAGTAAGAGGATTGTAACTTCAGCGTGTAGAAAGCCATGATTTCACGCAGCCCGGTTAGAAACCAGCACCCCACTGAGCTCTGAACGTCTGTTTGAAACACGGCCCTCTGATCATCTCTGAAGACTTTGTCATTAACTAGATCTGAACTGCATCAAACACTGATCTGTGTGACGAAACTAAAACGCTCCATTATAATCAACAAACTGCTGTCTACACTGCAAGCGGATAACGTTGTTAGATTGTTTATTATAACTAGAGGCAGCTTTATTCATTTTGTCAGCTTTTTTGATAAGCAAACTAGTTTATTATTACAGGAACGCTGTAATCTTGTATCTAGACATGTTTTCCTTTCAGCATGAGCTCTTTCCCTCGCTTCTCACCGCTAGAGTCCTTGAGCTTTTCAAGGAAGCTTCAAGACCTGAATAAATAAAATTAATTAAAAGAGGAAATCAGATTTTTGAAAAGAGGTTCGGCGCTGATAACAACAGCGTGATGGACGGCGACACGTTTTAATTAACGGACAGACAGAGGCAGTTTCATTTCACCTTTAGCCAGAACATTGTGTTCTTCTCTCTCTCTCTCTCTCTCTCTCTCTCTACGGCACACCTTTTGTTCTTTATCTTCCACGTTTCTTTAAGGGAGAATCGCCCAAAAAACATTTTCAGGTCTTATTTCAAAAGCATAAAATGAGAAAGTACTTTATGCATGAAAAAAATGAAGCCTGCTTTAGCATTTAAAAGATGTTTTTTTCGTATAGAAACTGTTATTTGCATAACAATTAAGCACATTTCTCATCACTGTAATGAGTCTGGACATTTTACTTTAGGGTTTATTTGTAATTCCCATTAATGATACTTCTCATTAGATTCTCATTACTGAAAATCATTAATGAAAATTCCCTTTTGTCTCTAAATTGACATCAGTATAAATTAAAGGTAGCTCACAAATACTTCTACGGTATTTAAACTATAACTTTTTCTTGAGATAAAATGTATATTTTGCTTGAAGAAAATATAACTTGTAGAAATCGGTCATTATAATTTGTCGGGGGTTTTTTTTTGTAATGTCTAATTTATGCTTAATTTTAATACATTAATCACTGTGTCCCGACAAGATGATTTTCATTACTTTATTACAGTGATTGGAATCTAATGAAAATCATCATTAAAAGTAAAAAAAAAAGCAAACTTGACTGAAAATGACCATACTCAATACAGTAATGAGATTTTGAGGGGGGAAATGTTCTTAATTATCATTAAATATAAATTGTATTAGAATGACCCTAAAATAGGCATAATTTTCTTAATGCAAAATATGATTTAAATTGTTTTGGGGGTTAAATATGGCCAAGTCCTTGGCAGACTTCATGGGATAAAAATTATATTTGACTGTTGGTGTTTCTGAGAGTCTTCTTCACGTTTCTCTGTCTTTAGGAGACGCTCCGTATTGCACCCCGGAGCAGTATAAGGAGTGTGCAGATCCAGCTCTAGGTAAGAAATCTGCCTCCTCCATGCAGAAACCTTTCAATCTAGAGGCCAATTTTCCTCGTTGAACCCATCCGGTCCTCATTACAGATAGCTGAACCTGAGGCCACGATGGGACAGCTCGATTTATGACCTCACCGTCCAGGCCTTTTTATACTTCTTCGTCTGTCCCATTGTTTTCCATCCAGGATTTTTGAAGTTAAGAGAAATGCTCTTTCTTTTTCTCTGGCTCTAGATTTTCTTGTGGAGAGAGACAATGATTACTGCGTGTGCGAGACGCCTTGCAACATGACACGCTATGGCAAAGAGCTGTCGTTTGTCAAGATCCCCAGCAAAGCCTCCGCCAAATACCTGGCCAAGAAGTACAACAAGTCGGAGCAGTACATTGCGTGAGTCTTGCTAATGCTACTTACAAAGTTGTATAGAAGTTCAAGCGAAACAATTGCCCAGTGTTTTGGCCACGACGAGACATTTGTTGATGGTTTGCTTTATATTTCTGTCATGTTGCGCTTTGTGTCACATGTCTAATCTAATCTTTTCCTATATTCTAGTTAGTTCATTTGGTTCCACTAATTACCTCATCCACTTCTTTGTTTGGCTCCTGCTCATCAGTGATTATCGTGTTTCGTGTGAATTATTCCTATTTTCAAGATAATTATTATTAAAGTAATTTTTCCTAACGTTTATCTTCATCTTCGTGAGTGTGGTTAAACCGGTTAAACTTTATCTGAACAAGGGGAATTTTGTGCAAACACTTAAAGGGATACTTCAGGATTTACCATTAAGCTTTGTATTTGTTGGAAACCTGTAGTATTTTCAAATTACCGTGCTTTTCACCCTCATGACGAGAGATTTACGTATTTTTTTGTAGGAAAATATCCTCTGATGACACAAAAAACGTCATTTTGCGTCATCAGAGGATTTTTTTGGCCAGAGGCTAAAGACTACAGTCAGTAGTAGCGTCTGTCCCGCATGTCCTCAACCCGCCCATAGAGGGCAATCTCACTCACAGAATGAACACATAGTGTCGGACATCTTTTTTTGGAAGCTAAGCTAGCAGGCTCTTCTGTGGAGAAAGCTGAGTAGTAGGGGTTTCCATCCTCTTTTTCCCGGACATGTCCAGCCGTTGATGTCCATGATTCAGCTTTTGCTTTCTGCAGTCGCCATTGTTTACAATCACAGCTTTTGTTTCAATCTAAATGAATTCATTCCGATTGGCGAATCTGAATGTAGTGTTTACATGAACGGTTGATGTGCGTTTTAACATTGCTAAGAAAATCCTCCTCGTGAGAGATACGAGACGGTGTCGCTCATCGGTAATCACGCCACCGGCCTCGCGCCGTTCTCCCGCGGCCCTCACTCGTCCTGCTCGCCACAGTTAACATAACGAATGGCGACTGTTGAATGCGAAAGCCGAATTTTGACATTTTGGGCGATCTCGAAACACATTTTCGGGCAGACTCATCACGGAGACTCAGTAGTAGCATAGACTTGTTGTTTAACTACTGCACTCTGTTATCGCTAATTTACGATGTATTTTAACTATAAAAAAGTATCATGAATTGACAACTCATTATTTATTGGCTGCTCTCACTTTAGGACCGAATGCATGTTCTCGCAACTTATTCCTCAATTGTTAATATTCAATTAACCAACATTGTTTAAGTGAATACTCACCAAGCTGGACATTGTGACATATTTCTGTGTGTATTTAACCACTTAGACTCAAACCTGAGGCTCAAATTTCACTTTGCGTGTCCAGGGTTTAGTTACCCTTTAGGCATAAACTAAATTTAGTGAGGTTTAAATGTATTTTTGGTCGTTTGTGATGCTCTAAATGTTTCACCTCACATGTTTAATTGCCCAAACTGGCAGCTGTTTAGCACCTCGTCAGTAATTTACCGGGATCTTTGTGTGCCATCACACACAATCCAGACAGCCAATCATCCAAGCAGCCCAAAGGCATGAGAACATGTAACACATCACTGCCTTGACAAACACTCAGGAAATGTCTCCACATCCGCAACCATCTGGAACAACACGAATCCTAATTATGTTTTCAGAGCGAGGTCAAGAAAGTTGCTGCACTGAGTTTAATTGCTACTGTTTTCAACAGGCAATTATACTAGTATGGGGTGTTGATTTACATACTAAGATGTTACGATTTAATGTCAACATTAATTTGCTACTACTACTTAGAAACAATTGGTGGTGCCATTTCATTTGTGAAATTATTGTCGGCCTGAATGTATCAAACCGTGACAATCAAAACCCTTTTCTTATATTTGTGTGAACTAAATGGAGAAGAACTATTATTTGCAGTATTTTGCATTTAGAAATGAAAAGAGAAGTCGTGTGGAACGGTTATAAATTATTTGCAGTATTTTACATTTAGAATGGGAAAAGAGAAGTTGAAGAACCGAAGAACTTGGGGGGATTTAATCTTCTGAACACTACGGATGATTGCCTCTATTTAGTTTTCTGCTTGTTCCCAAAGATATTGATGAGTTTCGAGTGAAATGGCTCAAAATCGGATCTCTGCTATGCTTTCTTACATTTAGGAAATGAATCATACGTAATCTTAGATCTACTTATCTTTGACAGAAATAGGGTTATGTATTAATCTAAAGCAGGGAGACTGATGTTTTGGTCCCAAATGGGGTTTTAAAGGAGGAAGATGGTGTTTTTAATACTTGGCTTTAAAGTAGCACTTCATTGCAATGCGTCGATGAATCTGTTACAAAAGTGCCATCGAGGCTGTCCTTTTTAGTGTTTTTGGCTTCCAGGTATCTTTGAAATGCTTGGGCAAACACTCATGAAATAACTCCCGCTGTAGTCTAAAGCTTAATTAAACTTTCACAATGTAGTCAGTGAGGAAAAAAAATAAACTTTCACACCACGTTCGGTGAATATGTGTAGAAAATGTTCTTATTAAAAACTATATTTTTATTATTTTTTCTAACGATATGATGTAAACTCTGAAGTGCCATGGCTTCATGTGGCATTCAGATTCAACTCCAGCTGTGTTTAAAATAGCCCCAGGTTTCCGCTGACCCGGCTCCAACCAGATGCTTACCTCAGTGGCAGATAAGAGGAAGAAATGCTGTGAAATTGGCCGAGATTGTGGATCGATGCTCGGAGGGATGGTGTGAAGGATTGGGAGGGTTGTGGAAGTGAATTCAGTTGAGAAGTCCTCACCTTTTTCTCTTCTGCTCTGCGTTTTAGAGAAAACATCATGGTGTTGGACATCTTCTTCGAGGCCCTGAACTACGAGACCATCGAGCAGAAGAAAGCCTACGAGTTAGCCGGCCTTCTTGGTGAGCGGCGTTTTCCCAGACGTCGAGAGAGTTATTTGATTCCTTGAAATCTCCAGTGGTTATTTCACTAATTGTTGACGAAAATTATCTCAGTGTTTCAGTTTTTATAAAGTCAAAGTTACTTATTGTGACTTTAAACATACAACTGAGACACTATGAACATTTTTGAACTATTCATTCACACACTGTGTGGTTGTTTACACGACACCGCTTTCAACTAAAAACGTAAAACTTTTTATGTGTTTTGGCCGGCAACATTGGTTTGGGAGCCTGAAAACACTCATTTATATTTAGTGTTTCATCGCTAATGGCCCGGCAGCTGAATGCTGCTTTTTAGGTCTTCTTCTCGGATCCGTGTTCAATGGGGATCGTTTTCGACAGTGGTGTCGCCTGTATGCGGAAAACTCAATGGGAAAAGGAGGGGTCCGTTTTAAGCATATCGTTGTCGTGTAAACGTACCCTATATTTTACAAAGCTTGTAAAGTGTGTTCAGGTGACTAATTACTGAGCTAAATGTTTTCAGGTGACATTGGAGGACAGATGGGGCTGTTTATCGGGGCCAGTATCTTAACCGTCCTGGAGCTCTTTGACTATCTTTACGAGGTATGACCTTCAAGACTCAAATCCAAACCTGCACCTGTTATTTCTCCTTTTTTCTATGTTTTAAAGGGATACTCCACTTTTTTTTTTGGAAATAGGCTCATTTTTCAAACTGTTGAGTTTTACCTTTTTTGAATCCATTCAGCCGATCTCCGGTTCTGGCGGTAGCACTTTTAGCGTAGCTTAGCATACATCATTGAAGTGGACATGACCATTAGCATTTCTCCCCAAAAAATTACCAAAGTGTTTCGATATGTTTCCTATTTAAAACTTGACTTTTCTATAGTTACATCGTGCACTAAGACAGACGGAAAATGTAAAGTTGTGATTTTCTAGGCTGATATGGCTAGGAACTATACTCTCATTCCTGCGTAATATTCAAGACACTTTACTGCCGTACCATGAGTGCAGCAGGCGCGATGACTACACAAACTTAGTCCCAGTCACGTTGGGCACTAATTTCAGGCGCTGCGTCATAACATTACGCCTGCTGCACTCATGGTACGATAGTGAAGTTTCCTCATTATTACGCAGGAATGAGAGTATAGTTCCTAGCCATATTAGCCTAAAATCACAACTTTACATTTTCCGTCAGTCTTAGTGCACGATGTAACTACAGAAGAGTCAAGTTTTAAACAGAAAACATATTGAAACACTTTGGTAATTTTTTGGGGAGAAATGCTAATGGTCATGTCCACTTCAATGATGTATGCTAAGCTATGCTAAAAGTGGTACCGCGAGAACTGGAGATCGGCTGAATGGATTCAAAAAAGGTAAAACTCAACAGTTTGAAAAATGAGCCTATTTCCAAAAAAGTGGAGTATCCCTTTAAAGACCCTTCAGAAATATTTACTCTGAAACGTCACGGTTCTGAAAATTTCAGTCATTATGGCGCTTTTCCACTGCTGGTACGGCTCAGTACGGTTTGGCTAGCTTCGCTTTTCAACTGCATGGTACAACTCGGCTCGGCACGGCTCAGTTCGCTTTAGCTCGGTTTGCTTTTCCACTGCAGTTTGTGCTTCAAAGTGTGTAGGATCATAGTCTGATCGTTATAGTATATCCGCTCCTTGGCAACCAACGAGAGGAACCGTCTGCACTTTGTCCGCTGACCACGATTTTTTGGAAGTTTTCTTTCTTTCTTTTTTCTTCAAGCAAGTCAAGCAAGTAGTTTTAAATACAATGACGCTGGTAGTGATGATTCTGTCTGACCAATCAGGGATCTGTAGTGTGTTCACGTCACATTTTAGTATCGGTACGGTACGCTTGGAACCTCAACAGAGGTGGTACCATTTAGGCCGTGTGTCCACCAAAGCGTTTTTCCACGTGCCTGGCGTATGTTTTCAATTGTTTTCAATGGGAGCGCCGCGTTTTTTAAACGCCATGAGCGTGTCGAGACGAACTCTCGGCGACCAGTAAAAAACGCTGAGCGCCGTGAAAAAAAACGCTCAGCGTTTTTTACTGGTCGCCGAGAGTTGAAAAATGTTCAACTTTGGATAAAACGCAGCGCTCATCACTGTCACTTTTTACCCAGCCGTCCAACCACAGTTGAGGAGGGGCGGGACTAATACCACACCGACCAACTGTCACAACATTCAGCTGCTGCAGATATTCTGTATCAAAGCAACGAAACGTCTCAACGGAAAAAACGCTGCGCTGCCAAAACGCTCTCAAGCGCCCAAAGCACGGCGTCTTCCGCAGAGCGTCTAGCGTTTTCAGCTGGATAAAAACGCTTTGGTGGACACACGGCCTTAAAGCGAGCCGTACCGTACCATTCAGTGGAAAAGCGCCATATTCTCCTCTCCCCTATAGTTGTGTCTGCAATGACCTTTACAAATGCATTCTTCACAGCTTTCTTCCATTATAGACCCTTTGCCACAATCTGAATCTCAGTATATTATTATTTCCAAAGCCTTTGCTTATGATGTGATTGCTTCTGAGATATCAATGCCCTGAAGGCGAAGGTTGGAATTATCCCTTGATTGGGAAAATTGTCATCGGATCTGATAACAGGTGATTCGGCAGGTAAGCAAGCGGAGCAGAGCAGAAGCAGAAGCGAAATACTGGAATTATATTCAATGCGAGCTGCAGTGCCTCCGGCATTGCGAATAAATAATTTTAATGTGCATGCACACGCTCTGTCATTAGCATCTTAATCAACCTATCGTCTGCAAAGATGTTGCCAAATATTGTCCTCGGTTTTCGTTGGTTGATTGATAAGCATTGGTCTCATCTGCAGAGGTATTACACACTTGGCTGGCCGAGTTTATTATATTATTCCTCCTATTGATGATTTTAAACCCAGGAGAGCTATTTTTCTTGTTTGTTGTCTTGGCCACTCATTACGGCAGCGATTGATAACAGATCATGTGACGTTTTACAGGAAGTGCTGACTTGAACCTCTGTGCTACAAACTCAGTTTATATATTTATTAGGGCTGGGACTCGATTAAAAAAATGTATCTAATTAATTAGAGGCTTTGTAATTAATTAATCGAAATTAATCGCATTTTAATTCCATAAATATTTGAACTGAGAACAGTGATAAGATTATTTTTCACATGGATTTTTAGTATACCATTGAATAATGACTGAATACATAAGCTTAAGCAACAAAATATTGTTTATTTTTGTTCAACCAAGTCCAGCAGACCAGTGCAATTGTATATGTTTTGCGTTGAGGTGAAATAGTATGTTTTTTACAGTCTATGGGTGAAACTTGAGGGTCGATCCCAGATAGCAAACTGACATTGAATCAACGTGGAAACATGACATCGAAACAACGTTGATCTGACATTGTTTTGCTCATCGAATTAACGTTGAACCAACGTCAGACGCGTCATTCTTTCAAAACTAACGGAAAATCAACTTGAAATCAACGCGTTGTTTCAACGTTATGAAAGCAAACCAATTTTCGATTTTCATTTAGCTTTGAAGAATGCCGCGTCTGACGTTGGTTCAACGTTAATTCGATGAGCAAAATCAACGTTGTTTCAATGTCACGAGAGACGTCGTTTCCACGTTGATTCAATGTCAGTTTGCTGTCTGGGTAATGACTGAATACATAAGCTTAAGCAACAAAATATTGTTTATTTTTGTTCAACCAAGTCCAGCAGATCAGTGTAATTGTATATGTTTTGCGTTGAGGTGAAATAGTACGTTTTTTACAGTCTATGGGTGAAACTTGAGGGTCGATGTGATATGCGAATTCTTGTTGCATAGCTTGCATACAATCATACTCTTAATGACGCTTCCATCCGTTCGTTTTTATAACAAAATTTCCCATCCACGGGACCAACCAAAGCGGTCTCGTCAGCTTCTTCGTTCATGTTCACTGTGGTTTGTTGTTTAGTTGTCTGAAGCATAGACTGTAAAAAGAGTCATGAACGCTAGTTGGTGCTCCAGTATAATCAGTCCACCGAAACTAATCCAGTGAGAAATGTTCCGCAAAAACAAGTGCGATTTTTTTGTGTAATTAATTAATGTGTTAAAGTCTGTAATGAATTAATCTTAATTAACACGTTAAAGTCCCAGCTCTAATATTTATCTTTGAGCATACGACAAAGAATATTGAAAACTACTTGTTTATCGTGAGTCATAAATCACAGTATTCATGATTTTTCTTAATGTTTTATCAGCAGCAAAATCGTTTGTGAAACGCCCAGTGCTGCTACGCACCAAAACATATGACTGGAAAAACAGGGAGGAGATGCCAGTAAAGCTATTTTTCTTGTCTGTTGTCTCAGGCGCTCCTTGGGTATCTCTGTATGGCAGTGATTGATAACAGATCATGTGACCTTTTACAGGAAGTGCTGACTTGCACCGCTGCGCAACAGACTCATATTAGCCTGTGGAAAACAGCAAAGGCACAAGCATTCAAGATGTTTCTGCTGGAAGATAAAAGAGACAGATTGAGATGCGAAAGGCATAGTTCACCCAAAAATGAAAAACCGGCTATAATTTACTTACCCTGATGTTGTTCGAGATCAGTTATTTTTCTCCAGTTGAATTTAGCGAAAGCATTTCCACTGGTGGAAACTTGTGGATGTTTTTTTATACCTGATTTTCCTTGAAACAGTCCAATAGACCTTATTCAGAGCAGCGCCATGACAGGTGAGGCTGTGAGGGATAGACTTACCGTGTTTCCAATGGCATCCGCTGTAAAAAGCTGAATAAAGCGGCTAGATTACTTGCAATTTTCCACAGCTTACATTGTCGGGAGATTTTTGTCAACTGACATTTTTTGGAACGATATTTTTCCAGTGTTTCATGAGCAGAACAATCCGAAAACACATTAAATAACAGTACAGCCCATTGAAGAGATGCAAGTCTATCCCTCACAGCCTCGCTTTCATTCTCATTAAAAATCAAACATGGCGCTGCCGTGAATAAAGGCCTGTTCACACCGGGACGAATTTCGCGCGCGTTATTCGTCGACGTTTAACGCCTCGTGACTAAACAATGGACGCCAATGTGAGTGTTCACACCGACACGAAAAATGCCACGCGTAAAAGCGTCATTTTTTAAAAAAACGCCGCGCCGCGTCAAAACCTATCCGACCAACGAGATTGGCGGGTTTGCTCACGTGTCTGGTACTTCTGAAGTTACGGTAAAACACAAGTTGAGGGCGCTCAAACACAAAACGGTCTTGCCGAGCACACCTAGCGAAGAAGAGACAAGATACCTATGGGCAAGATGAATGTTGAGCTGCTGGTCTCGGACCATAAAGAGCTATAAGATAATATTTATATTAGTATTTCTGTAATAATAGTATAGTATAGGGTGACCAACAGTCCTGTTTTCTCGGGACATGTATAAAACGGTCACTTTGTGCTTTATAGAAATCTGAGTTGAGATGAGAACTGCGCATAGTGTGCGTAATGTCAGTTAGATTTTGACAAGTGAGGAGAGGAGATAACCGCTCTGCCGACTCTTTGTATTCTTTCTTTTATTTTATTTTTCTATTGTAACCAGATGTTTGTTTGTGTTTTTTTTTCCTCGCTCGATCCCGATGTATGAGGAGGACGAGTGTGACGTTTGAGTGGTTTTATTAAACGCGGGGAAATACGACAACTCTCGTCTCTCGTGCATCCGACAGCGGCTATGTTTTTATCTCTGGGCAACATCTCAACTTTGCGTTACACATGTCCTGTTTCCACGTCCCGTCCTGGTTGTTTTTAAGTGATGAAAATGTCCTGGTTCTCAAAAAAAACTGCTGGGAAAGATCAGTCCTACAGCAAAATATAGATGGGCAAACAAGGTGGACGAGGAAGAAAAACAAGATAAAGAGAATGAAAACTAAAGATATAAGTAGATTTTGTTAGTTCGTTTTTGTAAGTTTGTGAGAGCTATTTTTTGTTACATTTGGAGGCATTTCTTTTAGTTAGCCTATTTATTATTTATATATTTTTCTAATACAGAAGACATTATTTCTATCATTATTTCATTCGTTTTTTTCTATCTGTCATAATAAAACATTGCGACATGAATATGATCACCCTAGTATAGTATTCTATTATTATTTCTGTTTTACATTAAGCGCCATCTAATGTCAGGGAATGAATTTGCATGTTCACTCGGCTCATCGTCAGCGAAAAACGCTTGGGTGTGAACACAAAAAACGCGTTGAAAAACGCTGACGAATAACGCGCGCTGATATTCGTCCCGGTGTGTACGGGCCTTAATTTATTCTGACCAAAATCACACATTATGTTGATGATGTTGATCAAACCCTTTGGGTGAACTTGAAGGTCGTGACTAAGGCCTGGGATCAAGTCTTCTGAAGCACTGTGATAGTTTTACTCATTTATTTAGCAGTTGAGAAAAATTTAAGCCATTTTTACTGATTTATCTGTCCAGAATAGAAGCTCTCAGTTGGGAATCCTTTACCCAAAGCCATTCTTGTGGTAAAATGTACATGAACCGAGCAATGCGCCACAGTTTTGATAAATTGACACTCAATGTAAAAAAGTCCCTCGAGTCTGATTCAGACTCAACGGCAGGCTCTAAGTATTAGCAGTGACATTAGGACACAGATGGAAGACAACCTGTCAGATATGGCAGGTGGAAACTGGTGTCTCTGCAGGAAACAAGGCACAAATACTGTCAGTTCCAGGACTTGTGTGTGTGTGTGTGTAATCTGGCTGGTTTAAACTGAAGACAGCCGAAAGCCAATAACAAACAATACATCATCCATCCATCATGTTATTCCGTGTGTCAGGAGCGGCCCTCGTGGGAAATGGGGGGAAATGCCCCAGTTACAAGCTCAGATCTGCGTCTTCATATTGTTTATGTCTGTTTCTAGAAAAGCAACGTTTGGGGAAAGAAGAAAGTGTCGACTTCTTGGAAAATATTTATTTTGAATGTGTGCTTATAGAACTAGGCTAGTCTTACATCTACAAACCCACAAGTTTTTAGTTGGATACGTCCCTGTCATCCTTTTTGTTCTGAAATTCTTTCTATCAAGAAGATTTAACCCTTCAAAACAATTTCTCAGCTGCTCTCCTCATGACCATCGTGAACTGAACTGCAGTTCAAAAATTTCTCTCTTTGCAGGTTATCAAGTTCAAACTGTGTCGCTGCGCCAAGAAGAAACACCAGCGGAGAGACAACAATGAGCGAGGAGCTGTCCTCAGCCTGGACGACGTGAAGCGTCACGTCAGTAACTATCACACCAGTATCTGTGCTGACCGATAAACTCGTACTAACACACAATAAAGTGTGTTTCGGAATAGCATACAGCCATACTACTCTACTTACTATTTGGCACTGGCGCTCAACTTGATTGTCCATTGCCAGTGTAATGATTGAACTAGTAGTATCAACTGTGTTTTAGCATCATCTTGAGTCATTGTTTGATTGGACGGACAAAAGTTCAGGCGTTTTTATACAAAATTGAATATGAAATGCATTTTTATATGCTTAGATATGCACAAATGGCTTATATATTACATACTTACATATGCAGAAAATAAGTTCATGTTTGAAGTAGTTATTGCTCGACAATGTGTGCAGGGCTTGACATTAACTTTTCTGCTCACCATCCATTGTGGCTTGTGGTTTTCCAAAGTTGCTAGACACTCAGAATAACCACAATTTTGACATTGATAGGGGGAAAAAACAGCCATATAGATATTTTTAATATTATCTCATTATTTTGGCAGCAGGTATATTAGGCTACTGTCACTTTAAGACCTGACGCATGCTGTTACACATGCATTTTATCTCCCAACTGTTTACATTAATTTAAAGTATAACTGACTGTATTAATGTGAATCCTCACCAAGACTGGCATTTTGACATAGTTTTGTGTGTATTTGACTGTTTAAGCGCAAAAAGCAGCAAAAGATAGAGTACAAAATCTGCAGGAATGAGTCAAATTATGCGCAAAGCCACACTAAAATCCAAGCCTTGTAACACCAACAATATTCATCCGGAGTGAAAATGAAATGAGTGAGCGATTAGAGACGGGTTTGTGTGTCACTATTAGGTGTCTGTGTGGAAAACAAGTTTTGAAAGCGTTTCAGATATTTCAGTATTGAAAAATCGGTAACACTTTACAATAAGGTTCGTTACTTAACATTAGTTAACTACATTAGTTAATATGAACTAATAATGAATAGCACATATACAGCATTTGTTAATCTTTGTTAATGTTATTTTCAACATTTACTAATACTTGATTAAAATCTTGTTAAAATTAGCATTTTTATAACTGTGAACTAACATGAACAAACAATGAACAGCTGTATTTTCATGAGCTAACATTAACAAAGATGAACAAATGCAGTAACAAATGTATTGCTCATGGTTAGTGCATGTTAGTAAATACATTAACGAATGTTAACTAATGAACCTTATTGTAAAGTGTTACCGAAAAATCTATATTTTTGCCACTACATTGCACTAAGTTTATTATTTCAGAGAGCCTCTTAGAAGACTTCAATTAAAAAAAATGTGTGTGTGTGTATATATGAAGACTTCAGATGCAAAAGCCTCTAAGTGGCATCTGAAATTTCCTTCTAAAATTAGCATTTTTATCAAGCTCGTATATTTAGGTTCAGTAATTTCACTTTAATGACGATCAATTTGTAATTTTAATGGCCATTAAAGTGAAATAACTGAACATAAACAAACAAGCTTGATAAAAATGATCACTCTAGAAGAAAATTTCAGATGGCACTTAGAGGCTTTTGCATCTCAAGTCTATATATATATAGAGAGAGAGAGAGAGAATTCAACCCGCCAAAGTAGGAGTGACTGCATTACACGCCACTGCTGAAATCCACCCACATATTTGGCAGGTGTTAATGTCAAGCCCTGACACTGTGTAATGCTTCATGTACTGCTTTCAAAAGAATAGTAGGCAGTATTCAGTTTCTGATTATCTGTTTCCTCTCAGGCACCCTGTGACAACCTTCGTACCCCGTCAACCTACCCAGCCAACATGCTACCTCACCATCCCGGCCAGGGCAACTTCGAGGACTTCACTTGCTGAGCGTAAAGCCCAGAGCAGCCTGTCTGACAGAGAACAACCAAAGCCGATCACATCAGTGCGGACTCCATTCACAACCGGACATTACAGAGAAACCTTCTGGGTCTGCTACACACGTGTCCTGAGATATAACCTGACATCGGAGGAACGGTACCAACCAACAAATGTGTTCACTAACGCGTTACATGGAAAACTGTGCGATGTTTTTTTTGAAGAATTTAAAGGAAATACTGCCTCAAAAACAAAACTCCTTGAAGCCTCGTAAATGTGGAGCGATTTTTTCCCCACGCCAAAATTACACGTAATGTGACTCGGACATCGAATAGCTTCTCGCAGCTGGACCCTGATGCCTTTTGTGTACATAGTGACGGCTCGAAACTGTCTTCAGACCAGTGGCTTATGTAGATCAGTAGATAAATATAGCGCTTTCTCACTGTATGTAGCCTCATCACCAGTCCCATCGATTCTGCCTCGCTGTATCTCACGAGTATGTAACTTCCCGAACGAGGTGACCATCACGGGGCGGTTTCGAGACGGGTCCCATGTGTCATTGTGTTTCAGGTCCCATCTTGTAAATGCATGCTGGTCGTCCTGTGCATGTTTTTATTTTTATTTAGATTTCATTATTACTATCGCCAAGCTTGCCTCAATTATATACAGGTGTTGGAAGATGGTGTAAAGTTTGTGTATATGTGTGCGGGTTCTGCTGTTCTTGTGGGGATGACATTTGTCCGTGACCCCCAGAAGAACAGCAAGCTGACAAAAGGGATACAACGGTTCAAAAAGAAGCGAAACAATGTGTAAATTCATATCTAAAAATGCCAAAAAGTTTTATTTTACGTTCAGGATTAGTTTAGTATTGGACAAACAAACAATAGATGTGAATGGAGTCTTCAAAAGGATACAGTGGCCTCAAAAGATGTTGTGACACTCGAGTTACTCGTACTAATGCGTGAGAGCAGTTGCGCATCTGGATCGTTTTCTCTTTACTCGTGTTCGCTTTCCTTCATCACTTTTGCTTGCTGTCTTTGAATCTGCAGTGTTTTTTTAGTTCTTCAATTGTTTGTTTCCCTTTACGCCCAAACCACAACTATGAATAATGAAGCTACTTCAGACAAATCCCTTTTAGATTTGCGTTGAGCGCAAGAGTCATTTATGGAAGCTTGTTTCCGCCACTAAATATATAAAAATAAAATAAATAATTGTGACTTTTTATCTCACAATTCTGACTTTTTTTTCTCACAATTGCGAGTTTATATCTTGCAATTTTGACTTTATTTCTCAGAATTGCGAGATAAAAAGTCAGAATTGCGTGATATAAAGTCGTAATTCTGAGAAAAAAAGACAGAAGTGCGACTTTTTATCTCACGATTCTGACTTTATAACACATAATTGTGAGTTTATATGTCGAAATTCTGACATCTTTTCTCAGAATTGTGAGATATAAACTCGCAGTTGCGACTTATCAGGCCAATTCTAAGGGGAAAAAAATATTCACTTTTTTCCCCCTGAGAATAGTTTAAATCTCACAATTCTGACTTTATATCACGCATTTCTGACTTTATAACACGCAATTGCGACTTTATATCTCGCAATTATGACTTTATATCTCACAATTATGACTTTATAACTTGCGATTCTGACTTTATATCTCGCAATTCTGACTTTATAACTTGCAATTTTGACTTTATATCTCGCAATTCTGACTTTATATCTCGCAATTCTGACTTTATAACTTTCAATTCTGACTTTATAACTCGCAATTCTGACTTTTTATCTTGCAATTCTGACTTTATATCTCGCAATTATGACTTTATATCTTGCAATTGCGACTTTATATCACGCAATTCTGACTTTACAACTCGCAATTCTGACTTTATAATTCGCAATTCTGACTTTTTATCACACAATTCTGACTTTATATCTCGCAATTCTGACTTTATAACTCGCAATTCTGACTTTTTATCTTGCAATTGTGACTTTACATCACACAATTCTGACTTTATATCTGGCAATTCTGACTTTACAACTCGCAATTCTGACTTTATAATTCGCAATTCTGACTTTTTATCACACAATTCTGACTTTATATCTCGCAATTCTGACTTTATATCTCGCAATTCGGACTTTATATCACACAATTCTGACTTTATATCACACAATTCTGACTTTATATCACACAATTCTGACTTTATATCACGCAATTCTGACTTTATAACTCGCAATTCTGACTTTTTATCTTGCAATTCTGACTTTATATCACACAATTCTGACTTTATATCTCATATCTCGCAATTCTGACTTTCCATCTCGCAATTCTGAGAAATAATGTCAGAATTGAGAGATGTAAACTCGCAATTGTGAGAAAAAAAGTCAAAATTGTGAGATAAAATGTCTCAATTACCTTTTATATTTTTCATTCTATGGCGGAAACAAGCTTCCATACATTCATCCCGCCCATTAAATAGCAACAGCGCCCAAGACCCGCCCACAAATTTACTTGCGCCTTGCGCTTGATACTTGCGTTTCAGATCGTTAAAATAGGGCCTCATATCTCCTTTTATTGTTAAAGAAACAAATTTACTTTTTATCAAATGTTTTGACTCTCGCTTTGATATTTTGTGGCGAATAAAATCAGACATTTGTAAGTGTGACTCAAGTGGCCAAATACTTTTAGAGCTACTGTATGAAAACATGATTGTGTGTGAGTGCATGAGTGTGTGACTGAACGTGAATGTATGTGACGAATCTTTCATCATTCGCGCAATGTTGCTGGTCTGTTTCTGGACGAAAAACTTCCCAGGATCAAGAATGTAACAAACCAAAGAGTTTGTTTCGCTAGGTGGACCAGACCAATCACTCGTACGACATACCGGTACTCTAGTTGTGCGTGCGTATGCATGTATGTGCGTGTGTTTGTTCGTGTGAGACTGTCTTTATTTTGATGTGCATTTAACAACTTATTATTGTTTATTTGAATTCTGTACTTGCGAGACGTATTTGTCAATGTCGCGAACCTCATATCAAAGCACAAATAAGACCACCGAAATGTAAAGGTGATGTAAAAAGAATGATAAAATATTCTTATCAGTGTTATCATGATAATCAGCAGATTCATTATTACTCGGTTAAACTTTGCTTTGTTTTTTTTACTACAAACATACATATTGCCTGATAGTGCAGTCGGCAGATTATAGGCTGTTCTATTTATCTATGAAGGAATAATAAATATCATTCATAATTTTACTAACGGCTCATTGTTATTTCTTTTAGCTTTGTGGTGGATGCCAAATGATTGTTCACGTTTAACTTTAGAAGTTCGAGATTATAATCAAAATTCTTGAAATTGAATTATTTTAGATTGCAACCTCACTTTAGTCATGATGATGCTTTAGATTCAAAAGCACTTTTACAGTTTATTATTATAATCTTTTGCTCCCATCAGCAGAAGGACACAGACCTTCAAGAACTGTTAGCAAAGCCGGACATCATGGAAATTATTCAGCTGCCGTATCCTTTAAAAAAATATGGGATAAAAATGGTTTTTATTTCAGGTAGTTCCCAATTCCTCAGCCTTAATGTTCACTTACCTCAAAACTATTCATGAATTCAAACAGCAGGTACTGTAGAATTCATTTTGAACATACATTATGGAAAGCAGAAAGATGAAGGCGATGTTCTTGGACATCAGACGCTATATCAGGATACAAGAGGAACAAGAGAAAGATCAAACCCAAGAGGAACAAGAGAAACATCCAAGTGCGAGAAATCCATCAAGACCCTAGTGTAACATGTGTAATAAAGTAGCATTCTGGCATCAGAATAATGATTAAATATAAATAACAGACTTCAGAACGCATTCTCCAAAGTCACCCGCAAGGACTGGATCGGTCCTCGTGTGGTCCAGCATATGTTTAAAGGAAGAGGAGAGCGTCACACATGATTGATGAATGCCATTTTCTGCTGTGGTCTCTGCGCTGAAGTGCAGATGCAGGGAAGACTGCCAACGACACAACCGGCGGCGCATTCTGATGAGGATCTTGGAGACGCTCATCCTTGTCCTTCAAATGCATCAAACACATGCGTTTTGAAAGATGCATTTATTCTTGATTCACAACAGCTGCTCTCGTGAATGCACAATGTGTTTGGTTAAAAATGTATGAAAATGTTTAATTTACGTTCCAATACAATCATATTTTAACCGAGGAAGTTCTGCACACTGTTTTCCATTTTGAGGCAATCACGGTGTCAGACCTCTTGTCACTTCTCAAACTTCAGCTGGGCCTTTTGTAGGTCTAATCAGGCTGATTGGATTAGCATGTCAAGGCTGTTATGCTGATGAAATCAGGGAACCAGCTGAATCAACATGCTTTGTTTCAGAGTGTCTCCACCTCTATGTAACCCCTCCCCCTTGAGAGGTATAAACTAGGGCTGTCAGTAAAACGTGTTATTAACTGCGTTAACGTAAACCCATTTTAACGAAGTTCATTTTTTTATCGCACGATTAACAGTCTTTTTGTAGTTTTTTTCCACATGCTTTTGCAACAGGACGCGGCATGCGCAATGGCGTTTTGAAAGCGCAAGCGGATCTAACTAGACCGGAAACAAAACAACAGGCACGCCTCACACACTTATTTAGGCTTGCGTTAACCAAATAGTTGGTTAACGTTACGTTTTGAGTGGATGTCGAGTGCGAGACGCCGAAATGGATGCCAATAAGATTCTGAATGGAAAGTTTACTTTTAACAAGTTGCCAAATGGTTCCATTGACAAGACCAAAGTGATCTGTGTGTTTTGTCGTTGTGAACTGAGCTATTATCGCAGCACGTTTAGTCTGAAATACTACTTGATGATGGCCAAGAAGACATACACACACACAGATGATGCGAATTCTCCGCCCCCTCGTCAATATCAGTATTTCTTTCACCCTTTTATTGATAGACAGTGTTACACTGTGTGAGAGATTATTTGCTCCATGTGAGAATGTTAGTGTGAAATTGAACACAGTATATGCCAATGTTGTTTTTAATTAAAATAACATTTGCACAAAGCAAGCCGATCCACTGCTCTTATAATGTTGATAAGAGCATTAAAATAGGACAAAAAGAAATCAAGAGACATTTAGAAATGTCTAAAAATGTGCGATTAATCGTGAGTTAACTATGCGATTAATCGCGATTAAACATTTTAAGTATTTGACAGCACTAGTATGAACAGAAGCTATTTTGGCCTAGGTCAGACTTGGCTACGTTTTTTAGTCAAAGCAGACTTGGGAATACTACAGCAATGATGAACCCTGATTAAAAAGACACACCTGAGTCTGCTGGTCATCTTTAAACACTTTAGAAGAAAAAAGTTCACAATAGAACTAATATCCTTCTAAAACTGCATCAAATTCACATGCTATCCATCCTTAATAATAGATTTCATACATCATAGTACATTAAAAATTAATATGCTAAAGGTATCCTTGTGCATCTAAGATCTAATAATACCATGGGACAAAAAAGCCATGTTAGTCCATAAAAACACATGGTAAAAAAGAGCGTTCTCTAGCCTTCCTCTAGGCTAAACGTCACACGTTTTGACATAATTGAGTAGACTGACACTAATCTCACGTCACCTGATAGGTGCGACGTTCCTATAAAGTATTATCACATTAGCCGTGTCACTTAATTTATCAGATCATCTGAAACCGTGAAAATGGAAGTACCCTACAAGACTCTCCGAGTTCATCACACTGGTACTCGCTCATCGAAAATGAGTTTCTATTCATGTCCCATAATGCAACTGTCGGGAGTTTCTGCCCTTGTGCCAATTTATCCTGTCTGATCTCGTGGTGCAATTAGAAGCCGCAGCCGTTTGTCACTGATAAGAGTGTCATCACGCTCTTCCAGAGGATTAATAATAATAACCAGCGCTTTTGAACCGGGTCGACTTGAGAGAACTTCATTTGCATTCATGCCAGTTTTGCATATCCATCAGATTTAGGAAGTCCAGCATCTGATTTGCAACATTTTTCAACGATTGGATATAATTCAATAATCATTTTGAGTAGAAGGACGCTGTGATATCATACGATTGGCTAAGATGGTAAAACTTGTACCTGAGCCCTGGCGAATATATAGTGAAGGCAGGCAAGTTACTCACAGTTGAGTGAATTGAATCTGACCTCAATGTGGTTTTCTCCTGAAAAGAGACAATAAATATATCTCTTATGTAATATATAGCTCTATTAGTCGATACGAGTGAGAAAAAAATACATTACCAGGCCAGCATTAATATCGGCTATTATTGTCAGGATAAACACTGATGGCACAATGTCATCGCTATGAATGATGTGTTTTTCAAAAATGTTTTAATGTCACACATGAGAGCTGTGCGCTTCTCTCATAATGTATTTGCACAAACAAATAACCTTGGGGAAAAGGGATTGTGGATCTGTCACTTTTATTGAGGTGTAGTGTGTGATTTATGGCCGTTTTCAATAAACTGAAACAATAGCCAGATTATATCAGCTGGAAACTCATATTTGTTATTGTGACTTTATGTCATGATATTCCTGGGCATGAAATCTTTCATAGGGTTTCATAAGCTATCAACATACTGATCTTTGTCCTTCACTCACTTTAAATCACTGTTAGCACCCTTTTTTTCAATCATTAAAGATGATTTGTTCATTTTTTTTCAAAGATTATGGAGGACTAAAAATGACAAAAGGAAAAATAAATAAATGTAGAAATAAATAAATAAATATACGTTTAAATATATAAATAACTACATAAATAAATACGTGTAAAAATACAGAAATAGCCATTTATATTACCAAAATGTATTTATTTTCACTATATTTCTTCATTTATTTATTTATTCCTACTTTCATTTTACCTTTTGTCATTTTTAGTCCTCCATAAAATATATCTTCATTTTCGGACTGAAATGTAGCTAGCTTTGACTCAATCCTTTATTGGAACCAAATGAGCTTTATATATTTACTTTGATTTTGGTGAATCTTGACTAAGAATATATATGTGAATATATTTTTGATGTCCATATTTGTGTGTGTTGATCACAAGTGTGGGTGGCAATTCCACATATTATACAATACAAACCCTCTCAGCATCTAAAGAAAACCTGCTAATGTTGTCTAATGAATACGAAGGAGGCTCAATAACAATACAACATGAGGATAGGCGTAATGAAGAAGACTGAAATGTAAAGCCAACTCTTTATTTTCTAACGAGATGAATTAGACATTCTGTTCCTGTTTCATACTGCAACTAATTGCACCAAATTAGCTGAAGTTTATTCCTGTCAGCACAGTGCAATTAATAAAAGCTTTCAAGCGGCTGCGCAAGGATTCACAGTCATAATGATGACAAACATGCTTTTACGAGTGTCCGTGATAAACTCGATCTGAAAGATAGCCTAGCCAGAAAATAGAAATATTAGTGAATCTTACAAATGTAAGGTCATTTTTTTCTATAGTCTCCATGGAAACATTTGACTAGTAATACATCACACCTCATACACATATATTTGCGCAGCAAATTAAGGGATTGATTTTAGACTGCGCTAATGGGAAAGAGTTTAATGATATCATCAGTGTGTGTGTGACTTAGGAAGCTGCTCAGCCCTTTTAATCAACCGCAGTGAGTGCTTATATGAACCACTTTGTGTGTATATAAATCTGTGCATTAGGACGAAAGCCCAAATGTCAAAATGAAGGGCATAAATAGAGAGATGCTTGACTTCTACCTGGATCTAATCAGAGTGTGATGTTTCATTCATGTCACCACATTGATGGCATAGTAATTCTCTATATCTGTTTTGTTTTTATTTATAGCAACCAAAATGCATGAGGTTGACACACGTGACGAAGCACCAAGTAATAAGAAATGTTTTTTTTTTTATATCAGAGTTGTTAGCCCATCTTATTTATGGGTGTTTGTCTCCCTCTTTTGGATGTTATGTGAATTTATACCATGATTTATACACATCCATTTGGGCCAATTGCTCACTTTTGTATTATTCATTTTTGTTCATAAAGTTTGTAGGCTATATGTTTTTAATTACTTCAATGTTTTTGTAGCCTACTTCCCTTATGAAAACTAGCTAACCATGGTTTTACTTCCAGAAAAAATGTGGTTATTATTGTAAAACCATAACCACAAATTAACCGTCGTTGTGCTAAACTAACTTAAACTGTGGCTACACAAATGATAATCAATCAGCTAAAAACATGGTAACTACCAATTTTACTATTTAAAAAAAAACAACATTTAATTATTTAACAAAACCATAAAAGTCGACATACAAGCCTTTTCTCACTGTTAACCGATATATCCATAAAATAAAATAAAAAGTTTATTATTAATAAATATAGTTATATAATAAATAAAATACTTTTTTATTTTTATCTTCTTAGATGTCGTCAGTGCGAAGGCGGGATCTCTTCAGATCTCGCGAGACTCCGTCAATGATCATTCTTGGTTCTCTTCAACTCTCGCGATACTCGTTCTCTTCTCGCCGGTGGTGCTCTTGTCCGTTTGCGGCTCGCGGAGAAGATGGCGGCGCGTAGTGGTTTTCAGCCTGCGACACCCGGAGGCGGCGGAGCCCCATTAGGACCCGGGCCGCCAGTAGCCGGTGCGGGGCCCGGTATGGGTCCCGGTACGCCCTCAGGACGGATGGGACCCGGCGGCCCGCAGAACCATATGTATCGATCACCGATGCCCGGATACCCGGTAAGCCGCGAGGAGAACAAAGAAGCAGCCGAACCTAAACGGAGGGGTTGTGTTTTAATGTTTGCCTGTCGGATTCATGTGTTTATTCAATCCACTAAAAATTCTGAACCTTTTAAAATGAATTGAAAGCGTTCAAATCTGAATGTTTTGTATTGATTTGCGCGCGCGCGGTGATGTTTTGAGTAACGTTAGGTCACTGCAAAGCATCAAACGTCATATGCTTTTGATTAATAAACCAGACAAGATTATTTTTGTGAGTTTAACTTAAACTGTACAAAAAGAAAAGCAATCATCAGTTAGTTGTGATGATGTAAGGAGAGTCTTCGCATAAATGCTGGGGTTTGTGTGTTGGTGGGGCCTACAAGAGCATCATCCAGATGGGTTCGGCTGCATTGATGGCTAGTGTGTTTATGTTGATGTTAATATAACGTTACATTATACAGTATGCATGCAGTGTGTCTGAGACCACCCGTGGAAATGCTTCTATTTTGCGTTTTTCCAGCTGAATACATTCACCCAAAAATGAAAATGATCCCATAGATTACTTACTCAAGCCAATCCTATGTTTATTCCTTTCTTCTTTCAGTCTACCACAATTAGACTTATCTTATAAAATAGCCTAGCGTTATAATGGGAGAGAATGGTAAGTTATCCTTGATTTTGAAGCCCAAAAACACATCTATCCATAAACTGAATCCCTTTAGCTTCTAAGATGGATGGATGAGCTTTTTTGGTCTTCAAAATCAAGGTAAGAGCCAGGATAGTTTTCACAGATTGTGTTGTGGCTGAAAGAAGAAAACCATATACACTTGGGATGGCTACAGTGAACTAGCTTAACGCTTAAGTAAATCATTTAATTGAAAAAAATTAAGACTTATCCTGTTCTCCGCATGATTCAAACAGTGTTCCTAAGAGCAGCTTAAGCTTCAATGACCATCTGTATAAAAAAATGGTGATTTGTTTTGACACTTATTTTACTACTCAATGAATTTCGTGTGATTTAAGCTACTTTTAGGAACACTAAAATGATTCCCAAACAATCACCAGTTTTATATTTAGTTTGAAATATGTGGAGAATTTGTCCTGACTGTATCTTGAGTTCAAGGATGGATGTTTTTGTTTTGTTTTTTCTTGTTTGTGTACGTCCTTCAGTAAAACCAAGAATACTCTTTTTCTTTGGAGAAAACATAGTTTTCTAATTTTTCCCCACAATTATTTTTTGTTCAATTTGCATTCTCCACATGTTTGATTTGAGATTCAAGGTTGTTTATTGATTCACTTAACCCTCTATGGTATGCATTATGTTCTAATCATGAAATCTTTTTTTCAAATAAGTTTTTATTACATGAAATAGGTTCTTTCAACAAAAAATTTGGGGGCGGTGGGATACTTGGTAGGGAAACATTGCCACATGGCAACGCAAATGAAACGCAATGGAAATGGTCTAAAAAGGTTTTTTGTTTTTTTTTAATGCACATTTATTTTAGAAAACAGATTTATGGATTGTTGACATGATTGGGCATGCAAACCAAAAAAAAATAATAATAATTAAATGATACCCTTCATTCCCAATAATTTGGCTAACTCTTCCTCACTCTCATCACATGGAAGAACTCATTATGCACTCTTCCCATTGCCCTTCCCTGTAAAATATTGCTGTATTCGTTTTCTGAAAAGAAGAAATCAATTTATGATTTATATGTAAATACAACTTTACTACAGCACTTCAAACAAATAATGAACTGCAATCATACTGTTGATGCTATCTATAAAAAAAATCCCAATGAGGACATACACCACAATTCCACTGTGGTGCAGCGTTGCCATATGGAAACATTGATATTTTCTCAATTTACAGTAAAACTATATTAGACAGTTGATTTGTGAATAAAAAATATACATTTTTCTTAGCAAAGATGCTATAAAAAATCCCCCTTGAGAAGGGATGTTTAGAAATGAGGTTAATAGAGCAATCCGTGTTGAAGAGACATTTGGAGGGACATTCAAATGTCATGTGACTTAAAAACATCATTCGCATCATTGGCTACCTTAACGTCTGCCTTGTAATTCCCATAGTGTAATATATTGTATGTTTTTCAAAGAAATTAGTGTAAATGAATTGTTGCCATACGGCAAGACAGTACCATAAAGGGTTAAAGGAATAAACAGAGGAACGATTTGAGTATTTTAATCTGCACTTGATAAATTATCATAAAGACTTGACAGCTTGTGCACTTTTAAGTGCCCTGTTCCAGCAGTAATAGACTCGTGTTCAGCTCTTGACATTTACAACAAGAGCTGAACCGTCCGTAAGATGAAATGAGAAAGGCTGATGTTAATACTACAGTTACACACAGTGGTTTCCCTTTTTTACCTCAAATACAAAATCCACTCGAAATTACATTGAAATAGCATTTCATGGTCTTCGCCCAATCGGATAACTGTCCTTCATTCATACACTTGCAGAGACCAGGAATGCCTCCAGCCAGCCGTATGACTCCTCAGGGACCCTCCATGGGGCCTCCAGGTTACGGGGCCAGTCCTGTGTCCCGCCCCGGCATGCCAGTCATGGACCCGTCCCGCAAGCGACCGGCGCCAAATCAGATCCAGCAGGTCCAGCAACAGAATCGCAACCAACAGTGAGTCCAGTTAACACTTCAATTGATGTAATAAACCAAAGGATTTTGTTAGTAAGTGACTGAAATCATTTGAAGTGCTTAATTGGAATCGTGCTGTTTTTCATTTTAGTGCCAAGAAGAAGAAAATGGCTGATAAAATCCTACCTCAAAGAGTAAGTGGCCATGAAATCTGTTATTTTTTTACTCATCAATAAGTCTGAATCGTCTTAAACCATTCAAGATGTAAAACTAGTGGCATCATTTCAAAAAGTGCTTGATAAACACCCGGTTCTTTGCAAAACTCATTTGGCTTGCTTTTTTTTCTCTCTGTACTTTTTCTACCCATGTAAATAAGAAAAAACCTTTCCTCTTTGGCTTGATTTTAGATCAGAGAACTTGTTCCCGAGTCTCAGGCGTACATGGACCTGCTGGCGTTTGAGAGGAAGCTCGACCAGACCATCATGCGCAAGCGACTCGATATTCAAGAAGCTCTCAAGAGACCCATCAAGGTACATGCAGATCATTTAGGGCCCTATAAAATCTGTTTTATTTTTTCCCAAATTCCGTTTTATTTTTTCCCATTTTTGGGAATTCAGTTTTTTTTTACCCTTTACTGTTATTTTAGTTGTAAAAAGAGCTTTTAATATTGCTTTTAATGTTAATGATTAAAATGTACACAAATAAAATAGGCATTTACTCTTAAAATGACAAATTCTGCATGATGCAACATAACACTGCACTCGCTTCAAGTAACAACAAAATATGGTTATGAGCATTAAACTGTCCTGTAAAAATAAATGATATTAGTTTATATAAGTTAAAATAAAAGTCACACTCTAGCTGTGTCGTAATGTGCATACTATCCATCATAAATAGTATGTGACATTACTGTCAGTACTATTTCGGGCATAGTATGCACATTGGGACGCAGCTTCTGCCTCTCGCGCGCACTGTCGAGCGCTCTTTCGGACACACTCGGTCTCTCTCGTGCGCTCTCTCGGACACTCGGTCTCTCTCGCGCGCACTGTTGAGGGTGCTGTCTCGTCTCTCTCGCGCGCTCTCGACTCGGGCACACACTCGGTCCGGCACCTCATAGACAGACGTGCACGGAGGGGACTTTGTGTGTGTGTGTGCGACGAGTTTCTTAACTTTTTCGCCGACGAAAGCAGAGCCGTGGAGAGCCGCTTCGCCATGCTTTCAGTGGAAACGGCTATTGTTTTGATGCCGTCATGAGCTGAAATGACGGGAGGGGTTGTGTCGGCCAGATTTGCTTCCCCGTCTCTCTGCATTTTCCCCAGACATACGTTCTTCTCCCACACAAAAAACGAATTTCATTCCAAATATGTAAAATTCCGCGTTAACACTAGATTCCGCGTTAATTGGCCAATTCCGTGACCGCGGAAATTATAGGGCCCTAATTATTTACCAAAATTGTTCTGCATATATTTCGGTCTTTTGATTTCTTTAGAAGAACAAAAAATGTGCCTGTGCTTGAACTACATTTGATTGAAAGGTGTCGCCCAACATCTGTTTGTTCTGTGCAGCAAAAAAGAAAACTACGGATATTTATCTCCAACACATTCAATCCTGCCAAACCAGATGCAGAGGACGGCGAGGGTACCGTTGCATCTTGGGAGCTGCGTGTGGAGGGACGACTTCTTGAAGACGTAAGCGAGGCTCTTTATTGACATTGTAGAAGTACAACAGAGTTATGAAAACTCTTAATGTCTCTTTCTCCTCCTCAGACTGCTGTGTCCAAATATGAAGCCACCAAGCAGAAGAGGAAGTTTTCTTCTTTTTTCAAGTCTTTAGTGATCGAGTTGGATAAAGACTTGTATGGACCTGACAATCATTTGGTGGAGGTGAGAGGCAGAATAGTGCATTTCTCAAGTGTAGTACTTAGTGAACTTACTTACTGTCCACTAGATCCTTATTTGTTGTCATTTTTGTGCCCATTGTCAGTTATTGAAGTGTCTTTCTCTTGATTTCAGTGGCACCGAACAGCCACGACTCAGGAGACCGACGGATTTCAGGTGAAAAGGCCCGGAGATGTTGGGGTCCGCTGCACTGTACTTCTCATGCTGGACTACCAGGTGATGACAAACACGTACTGTGTACTAAGGCCACGTTTACACAAAGCTGGGTATTTAGAGAAACGAATATCCCCTCCGTTTTCAATAATAACATTGTGCACATACCCACATAAATATGCTGTCGAGCGCCATCATAACTATGCCAAACCTATGGGTGGCAATGTAGGGAGAAGGGTAAAGCCATGCAAGCCAATCAGAATCCTCATAATCAACAAGAGAGAACCTAAAACCTCGTTTCTCCCAGTTGACACGACAACACATAACCAGCGTTTTCAGAAATCTTCACTTTGGCCGGAGTTTTTAGAAATAATAGTAAATGAGAGGCCAAACTGCAGGGAAATAAGCCCCGTTTACAAGTATGCTATTCCAAACATACCCTTGTTAATCCCAAGAAATCACCAGCAGGTGGTGCCACCCCATATTGATAAATGTCTCTACAGGATAATATTGTCTTTAGATTTCATTTTCATTCAGTAGTATTTTGAGTGAATGTGACTAATGGGACATATCAAATTTTTTTCAAGCCCCCTCAGTTTAAGTTGGACCCCAGGCTGGCCCGGTTGCTGGGGATCCACACCCAGACCCGACCCGTGATCATTCAGGCTCTGTGGCAGTACGTGAAGACCCACAAACTTCAGGACCCTCATGAACGAGAGTTCATCAACTGTGACAAATACCTCCAGCAGGTAACAGACTATAGAGTTTGTCTTTTTGATGCATTTAACAATGGAATCATATGCCATTTGATGACTGTAACATCATGTGAGTTGCTGAATGTAGTCTTATACTGCAAATGCTTACTTAGGAAAATTGACCATCTGAGCCAATAGAAAGCAGATTTATGTGGAAAAACTCAAAATAGTTAGTTGAAAGAGAATGTACATTTTGTATGACTTTAGGAAGTTGTACAAAAGCTGGTTGTTTGTAGTGGAACCTATTTCTGTTCAATATGTGTTTGATTGGATCAAGTTGTATAAATGCCTCTAACCAGGATATTATCAGCATTCTTGATGCTTTAAATCTATTTAAGGAATAATTGTTGGTTCTTCTAGTTCTTTTAAACATGGAGGATGACCTTTTATTGTCAGTTTGTCAGTTATTAAAGTGTGTTGTGTAGTTTTCTGTAGCACTGAATAGTCATGAATCGAGAGAAAGATGAATTTCTGATGCTGATGGAATTACTGTCAGTTCTTCTCATTATAGATCTTTCAATCCGGTAGTTGTTGGTCCTCCTTCTAGATAGTTGATGTTTTTTCGCAGACTGTAGATCTTTAGAATAGTTATTGAAATATTTTCAATAGGGATGCACCGAAATGAAAATTCTTGGCCGAAACCGAAAACCGAAAAAGAGGAAACCAAGGCCGAAAACCGAAACACCGAAAGAATTTATGCCTATTAGTATCATTGCATTTATGGCTATGACTGTGTACAAACTTTACTAAAATCAAGGCATTGCAATTGCATACATTAATATAACATTTTCAAAGAATAAATCAATTACAAATTATGCAAATATTTATTTAGCACAATGCACAGTATAAAATAAAATTCAAACTAAAATGTTTAACTTGACCCACTCATGTGTACACAAAATAATAATCTACTGGCCTGCAGAAAGGTTTTAAAATGAAATGTTCTCTCAAAAACAAAGCCGAGCGCAAACTTCTCATCACACTAGCACCCAGTTTGCATGTCTAAATTAGTTACATTTTAAAAATTTAGCATACAATAGCATAAAAAGCCTTTTTAAATGAACAATGGTCCATGTTTAATACAAATGTACATGAAACTTAATGAAACATGTTTAGTGAACGTAGAAAATATTTAAGAGAGCATTAATTTAGTTCTATACATACATGTTCCCATATACATATTTTTTTTGTAATGTCACAAGTAATAATCTCAGGGTTTACTGGGTTTTACATGATTATTTTTGTATTGGTGGTGGAATACTAAAAAATAAACATTGTCATGACTCATGTATTTATCTGTCTTCTTCTCACCGATTCCTGATGGTTAGAGGACAGTTAGTTACTGAGTCTTCCCCTGTCGTTTCAAGGAATAGTATAACGGAGAGCGCGTCAAGTATAAACGCCTCGACCGTTTGGAGCGGTGCACGCGCTGTTTGTGGAGACGCGCGCTGCCTTGTTTACTTTCGCCTGCCTCCGCAGCGCGAGTCTTATTTATAATTTTTACATGTTTCATCCACCTATATCTGCTCTAAACAATGCGTGCCGCCATGACGACGTCTCCGGTTGCGAGCGGGTCAAGAGCGGTGCGCGCGCTGTCTGTGGAGACTCGCGCTGCCTTGTTTATACTTTCGCCTGCCTCCGCAGCGCGAGTCTCCACAGACAGTGCGCGCACCGCTCTTGACCCGCTCGCAACCGGAGTCGTCGTCATGGCGGAGCGCATTGTTTAGAGCAGATAATAGGTGGATAAACAAGGTTTCCGTCTCATCGCGGGTTCAGATACACTGAAATACGTCCGCACCACAGACATGTTGCTTCAGACAAGCACGTGCAGGTCGAGGTTTCTGTTTGCGTCATCACAACATTTCGGCCGTATTGTTTCGGTGATAAAAGTCTTTCGGCCACTTTTGGGCCATTTTCGGCCGAAAATTTTCGGCGGCCGAATATTCGGTGCATCCCTAATTTTCAATAGTCTGTTCCCCTCCTCCTAGATCTCTGAGACCCAGTAATTGTTGGTTGTTCTAGATCTTTTAAACCCATTTATTGCTGGTTGTTTTTGTTTTACATATTTGAAACCTACGGAGCCCCCCTAGTCCCACTTTGGCCTATAAAATTAATTAACTATCTCGTTAGTAACTCGTGGCCTCAAGATACTAACTCGTGGCCTCATAGTAACTCGTGGCCTCAAGATAGTAACTCGAGGCCTCAAGATAGTAACTCGAGGCCTCAAGATAGTAACTCGAGGCCTCAAGATAGTAACTCGAGGCCTCAAGATAGTAACTCGTGGCCTCAAGATAGTAACTCGTGGCCTCAAGATAGTAACTCGTGGCCTCAAGATAGTAACTCGAGGCCTCAAGATAGTAACTCGTGGCCTCAAGATAGTAACTCGAGGCCTCAAGATAGTAACTCGTGGCCTCAAGATACTAACTCGTGGCCTCAAGATAGTAACTCGAGGCCTCAAGATAGTAACTCGTGGCCTCAAGATAGTAACTCGTGGCCTCAAGATAGTAACTCGAGGCCTCAAGATAGTAACTCGTGGCCTCAAGATAGTAACTCGAGGCCTCAAGATAGTAACTCGAGGCCTCAAGATAGTAACTCGTGGCCTCAAGATAGTAACTCGAGGCCTCAAGATAGTAACTCGTGGCCTCAAGATAGTAACCCGAGGCCTCAAGATAGTAACCCGTGGCCTCAAGATAGTAACCCGAGGCCTCAAGATAGTAACTCGTGGCCTCAAGATAGTAACTCGAGGCCTCAAGATAGTAACTCGTGGCCTCAAGATAGTAACTCGTGGCCTCAAGATACTAACTCGTGGCCTCAAGATAGTAACTCGAGGCCTCAAGATAGTAACTCGTGGCCTCAAGATAGTAACTCGAGGCCTCAAGATAGTAACTCGTGGCCTCAAGATAGTAACTCGAGGCCTCAAGATAGTAACCCGTGGCCTCAAGATACCGAGGCCTCAAGATAGTAACCCGAGGCCTCAAGATAGTAACCCGTGGCCTCAAGATAGTAACTCGAGGCCTCAAGATAGTAACTCGTGGCCTCAAGATAGTAACTCGTGGCCTCAAGATACTAACTCGTGGCCTCAAGATAGTAACTCGTGGCCTCAAGATACTAACTCGTGGCCTCAAGATAGTAACTCGAGGCCTCAAGATAGTAACTCGTGGCCTCAAGATAGTAACTCGTGGCCTCAAGATACTAACTCGTGGCCTCAAGATAGTAACTCGTGGCCTCAAGATAGTAACTCGTGGCCTCAAGATAGTAACTCGTGGCCTCAAGATAGTAACTCGTGGCCTCAAGATAGTAACTCGTGGCCTCAAGATAGTAACTCGTGGCCTCAAGATAGTAACTCGTGGCCTCAAGATACTAACTCGTGGCCTCAAGATACTAACTCGAGGCCACGAGATAGTTTTAATTAATTCTTTTTTTGCCAAAGTGGGACTAGGAGGGCTCCGTAGAAACCCAATAGTTGTCATCTCTCCCTGTTCTTGATCCTCGAAACCCAATAATTGCTGGTTCTCCTCATTTTCAGATCTTTGAAACCCAGAGGATGAAGTTCTCTGAGATCCCTCAGAGGCTGCATGCACTACTGATGCCCCCCGAGCCAATCATCATCAACCACGTCATAAGGTAACTGCCGGCAATGATACGTCACTCAATCATTGCTTCTTCCTCATCCGTGATGTAACGTCTGAACATCCGTTTGTGTCTCAGCGTGGATCCCAACGACCAGAAGAAGACGGCGTGCTACGATATAGACGTGGAGGTGGACGACACCCTGAAGACCCAGATGAATTCGTTCCTGCTGTCCACTGCCAGTCAGCAGGAGATCGCAGGCCTCGACAACAAGGTACGTAAGCTTCGCATGTGGCTGAAAGCCTCAAGTTTCGTCTTTGTTCTGGTTGGATAAACAGTCCTCAAAGTGCTCGGCACACCGCCACAGGGGAGGCCGCTTCTGTTCTCGTTCTCTCTGAAGATCAGCGCTGTTGCTTTGTCACATCCTGTGCTTGTCTGCTGCATATCAAAGTGACTCTTGGCAGCCTGCAGGTCTGAATGTTTTCGAGCGGCTGTGTTGCTGATAAAAGACAGGGAGTGGTCCTCACAGGAAAAGAGTCCTGCTTTCCATCAGCTCTGTCTGTTAGCTGAGTCTTTAGTAGTCTAGTAACCACATCAGGGATAGCAACCGGACTCACCGTGGTTACATTGTTGCCCCGGTTACTCCATGCTTGATGTAATCATGGTTTTCAGCTTGAGAGATTGTGAATTGGTTCAGTCAGTAAGATAAATCAGCTGGGAGTGAAAGTTCACTTCCTTTCATTTCCTCTTCGAACGTTTATGCATTGATGTATATAATGGAGGTTAAAGGGATTCTCCACTTTTTTTGGAAATAGGCTCATTTTACCACTCCCTCAGAGTTAAACAGTTGGGTTTTACCGTTTTTGAATGTATTCAGCCGATTTTCTGATATTTAGAAGAATATCAATAAACAGACAGTTTCTGGTCTCATTGACTTCCATAGTATATTTTTTCCTACTATGGAAGTCAATGAGACCAGAAACTGTCTGGTTACTGATATTCTTCTAAATATAAAAAAAATTGGCTGAATGGATTTGAAAACGGTAAAACTGAACTGTTTAACTCTGGGGGAGTTGTAAAATGAGCCTATTTCCAAAAAAAGTGGAGCATCCCTTCAAGGAATAAAGTATTTTTAAAGTTGATTTTCTGTTTTCAAATATTATAATACTTTTTGACTTGTTTGATAAATACATTTCGCCAAATGTGCTAATGATATTGGTCACCTTGCTCTGTAAATACAAGTATCAGACATTGGAAAAACCCATTTCGGTAACCACTAGGTGTTTCTAAGCTTCATTGATTTCTAATCGGATTTGACTAAATTGTGCTGTGAACTCTCACTCATACATTTGAGCATTTTTGTTGTTGTTCCCCTTTGACCCAGTCAGTTTGCAACAGTCTAATGCTGCGTTCATGTGCTATGGTAAATACCAAAAGCCGACGTGGAAAATGCACATGAACACACCCTCATGTGGTATTTTCTACTGGGCAACTCGTAGAATATTTTGATGGACGAATTGCCGAGATGAGATAACCTTTGAACTTTTCAAAATGGTGGAGAGCACCGCAAGAGTCGTGAAAGGTAAAAATATATACTATTCATGATCTAGAAAATATATCGCATTTTACTTACCTTTTGAGTTTTGATAAATCATTTTCTTGCTGTTGCAGATGACTTAAGCAATCTAAAATAGTTTTAGCTATTAACAGGTTTGGATCTCCATCTTTTTACCACATTACGACAACAAAAGCACTTGAACGCAACACACTGGTAAATACCAATTCACAAGTGGAAAATATCCTACTTTCCATGGCACGTGAACGCAGCATAAATCTCTGTCGTTCACAGTCACTGGTTGAACTTTGTGTTTTGTGACATTTTGTGTTCAGACTCCAATAAAACCTCAATGATGTTAGGCAAGATAGAGTGTGATTGCTCTTATACTGCCGTTCAATAACAAAGTTCACATTTGACTACCCATCCAAAGTAGAGAAGCAGAACTAACTGTTTAATTAAAATGTGAAATATGATCCCTCACACATGTTTGCTTGTTCCCTCAGATCCATGAGACCATCGAAACTATTAACCAGCTGAAGACTCAAAGGGAGTTCATGTTGAGCTTCGCACGAGACCCGCAGGGCTTCATCAATGACTGGCTCCAGTCGCAGTGCAGAGACTTGAAGGTGAGACCAAACTGTGCTCTTCATATTATCATACTTTTGTGGTCCTCCTGGTAGTATTATAATACCATGCCTTTGTGGACATGTGAAGTTGGAAGGTCCAATTTATTTCAAACATCCTGCAGGGTTCACAAATGCTAAACTTGCTAGTCAGAAGAGGTTTTGTAACCTTCGCTCGGAGCTGTGGTCTTTCTTCATCTGTATGTTTGCTCAGCCAAACGTTGGATAGTGGACTGACCGGACTTGTAATGACTTTGGGGGTTGGGAAGCTGTTATGGGATGCTGAAATGGCTAGGGAAACTAAAGCTGGCATCCGTTTTCTCAAGCGCGATTTATCAGTCGTACCGTCTGTTGGAAAGCAGTTGCATTGTATTTCCTTGGGATTGAATATTGCGACAAGTTTCTGAAAGTTGGTTGCTCCAGACAAGTCATTAATCAATAACGGCTGCATCTTATTCTGCTGATGTCTGTGTCCTTGCAGACGATGACGGATGTGGTAGGAAACCCGGAGGAGGAGAGGAGAGCCGAGTTTTACTTCCAGCCTTGGGCTCAGGAGGCCGTGTGCCGTTATTTCTATTCAAAGGTGACGCTTTACGATGCAGTCTTCCTATTTAGCCACTGTGGAATATTGTTTGAAATCTCAAAAGTTACATGAAAAATCACTTTTATTGACATTTCTCACATAATCTTGTGATCTCAGGTTCAGCAGAGGAGACAGGAGCTGGAACAGGCTCTTGGCATTCGAAACACATAAGCAAGCTTCCGACTGCTACGCCACAGGACCGGAGGGGTTTCTGGGTAGTGAATTTCCTGCTGCTCTGTACTGCAGATGCTGATCACTACAGTTATATTACAGTTTATCGTGTGCTGTCCTGCTGTAGCTGCCCAGGAATGACCCCTCGTACAGAAATGACCTTATTTTTGTTGTGACTCCGCCAAATTAACACCCCTTGAAATTGTGCTGTCACCCTTGTTTTTACCTGATTCGAGCTTCCCGTGCAAGTGAACATTTTCAAAGTAATTTTGAAATGCTGTCATTTTGGAAAATGTAGTTTTTTGACCAAACTGACAGACTTTGTTGGATATTTTTTGGATAAGTTACAAACAGAAGTCATACGAAGTGAGATGTGATGATGTTTGAGCTCATTTTCCACTGTCCTTGTTAGCAAATCAACAACAGTTACTTTTTGGAGGGGTCGTTGTTTGTTATTTTCAAAATTATCGATATTGTCTGATTATTTTAATGTTCTCATAATATGAACTTAATGAAGATCTAGTCTAGTTAAGCATAGATGACGGATTATGTAGTTTAGTACCTCAGCTTTGTGAATTATTCGGAGGAAGTTCCTTGAACATGTCTGTTGGCGTCAAAGGCGAGAGCTCACTAATTAACGTTTTCTGCAATGCTCAGTAAATAAGACTTTTTCAGAACTCATCTGTTCAATAGTCGTTTTAGATTCACAAGATTAGATGTACTGCTGAGTGACCTGTATGATTATAGATCTTTCAGTCACGAGGTTCGTCATGAACTGTAAAGTACTTCCACTCCATCCTCTCTGTGATATGTATTAATATATTTGGAGAATTGCCTTTAATGGTTGATTTGATTAATTTTTATAATTCTAGTTGACTTGTCAGTCTGAAAGAACAACATGGAAAAACCTGCCAATGCAAGTACTAACTGGCCATGGCAACCCACGTAACATGTCTGGGAAAACTGTCAAGTGTTTTAATATTTCATAGATGCGCTGCAAATAGGCCATGGGTTCTTCCAATCAAGTAATTCAAAGTGTTTAGAAGTCAAGTGCTAAAGACTTTAACATTTTTGGTAGTTTAAGTTTGAACTATTTTGTTGTTTTTCCTAAAGTCATGCATTTGCTTTGATTTTATATCTTTACAATCTTGTTTTTCATTATTTGCTTTAATGGACCAAATGTTGTATTTCTCTATTAGCCATATGTGTTATAATAAAGATTATCTTGTATTGATGCTCACATCAGTGTCAAGTGTGATTCGCTGCACTCAATTTCCTGAGGTGATAAATAAAACATTGCGACGTAATGCAATATACGAAATCTAAGTTTGATTTATAATGCAACTTAACTCATTTTCTTTTGAGCTTTATTTTGGTATCCTAACTCTAAAGAATTGTGGTGTTATTCAGCTAAAGTAAAAATGGTGTGTAAATTTCCTCCGTCGACGTTAGTCCAACTTTTGGCAATTGCTAATATCCACTGAGGAACTTTTGGCGCCCCTAAATCTTAAATTTCCGAAACATTTCACCACAAACATGTTCAATATAGTTTTTAAAAGGAAACATTTCTATTTTGTCTGTAAAATACAGCAGAATTAATAATGCCCACTTGCGTTTCGTCGAAATGTTGTTTCCTCAGGAGTCTGGCGAGGCGCGAGTGTGTTTTTTGCTTATTACGCGAGGTCACATAACGTTATTTAATCGATTTTTGAGATTAAGAAAATGTTTATTAACGCTGTTGACGCGTTTCTTGTGTAATAGATAATTTAACCTTTGCTGTTTCGAGTCTTATCCAGGTTTTAACCGTAACCTGATTTTAAAAACCAGCGTAATTTTCAACTTGATAATGGTTTAAATCATCGGATCATTTGGTCAGTCTCTACTGTCTTGATGTATGAGAAGAAACGAACCAATGCGCGTTAAGGGGAGTGAGGCGCGTTCACGGGATATTTAAAAGCGCGCCCACAGGAATGACAGGGTTCGCTCCGGTCCGTCAGCGGCTCTCAAACACACCGAAGTCCTTCAGCCAGTCCAGCCGGGGCAGACGCGCAGAATGGCGGCCAAGAAAGTCTGCATTATCGGGTCTGGCAACTGGTGCGTGGCATTTACTCTGCGTGATTGTTGTTTACTCTGTCTTTTGCTGTTTCGTGTTTACAGTTAATGTAAACCTACTTGGGGTGTTTTTGTCTGAAGTATATTTATAAGCAGCCTGTTTTAAGGAAGAATTTATTTCTATTTTTGGAAGTTGATTAAATGCGGTAGGGCTTCCCACAGCGGATATCAAGTGTAAACCAGGAATATTTAACGTGATAATTCAATAATATCATTACCAGAGAGGTGTTGGACATAGATTTTTTACAATTATATTATATTGTCTAATTTGTATAGACTAATATACACAATATGCATTAGTAGGCTTGCTGTAGTTGTTGAGGCAATATTTGCTGAGTAATGATTGACCCAGGTGTCCAGTAATCCAGAAGAATAGGTTGCATTTTTTTCTGACCCATATAACTCAGCCTGTTGGCCTTGCATACTGAAGCAAACCTATCATTTCACTGGATTATCATCATCCATAATCTAAATTGCATGATTTCATGCTTCCAGTGCTAGTTTTTTTTTTTAACTATTGCAGCCACAAATTCAAATGTTTGAATACTGTGGTAGTTCCCCAAAACCAATGATAAATAATACAATAATGTTTACCATTTCAGGACCTGACACCTGTTGCAACGAAGTCAAGAGCCATTCTGTAGTTTAGAGAATGTGTCTCAGTATTCTTCTGTTAATCAATCCCTCAGTAGATGTGCAGCTGTCATTACTGATCCAGCATCTGTATTGAGTGCTAGCTTATCCATTACAGTTTCTCTCTAATGTTAAAGCTAAGATCTTTCATTTCCTCAGGGGTTCTGCCATTGCCAAGATAGTGGGTGCCAATGCAGCAAAGTACAACACTTTTGACAGCACAGTGAACATGTGGGTGTTTGAGGAGATGATCAACGGACGCAAACTTACCGAAATCATCAACAACGAACACGAGAACGTCAAATACCTGCCCGGACACAAGCTGCCACCCAATGTGGTGAGAACGCAAAGCGTTGCCAAAAAAACCTTGCCATTTACATTTCAACAAGACTCTGATTGGTGGATAATTTAGTACTTCACTGGAAATTTGGCAATTATTCAGAGAAGCTGCATGTGAAATTATGACATGAAAAGAAGCATCTCTTTATGACAAACTTGAAACTAATGAAAAAAGTAGTCTTTGATGAAGAAAGATTTATTAAACCCAGTGATTAACTCTTCAGGTTGCAGTTCCAGAGCTGTTGGATGCAGTCAAGGGTGCAGATATCCTCATCTTTGTCATCCCGCACCAGTTTGTGTCCCGAATCTGTGACACCATCAAGGGTCACATCAAGACGGACGCTGTGGGAATGTCCCTCATTAAGGTGAGTTTTCTTATGCATTTCTTACTCTATGAAGTTTAGTTTGTATGTGGACCTACAGCACTGCTATATCACTGTGTGTGTTTCGTAAGGGTGTGGATGAGGGTCCTGACGGACTGAAACTGATCTCTGATGTCATTAGGGAAAAGCTAGGCATCACCATGACCGTGCTGATGGGAGCCAATCTGGCCAATGAGGTCGCTGAGGAGAAATTCTGTGAAACTACCATCGGTAAGTACACAGAAATGGAAACAGTGGCTGTAACTCTTACGCTGTAAATTTGTATAAAAAAATCTTGATTATTGAACATTCAAATGTTGTATAATATGTAGAGCAAACACAAAGTTTCTCAGAAGAACGCAAAGGTTTTGTGAGCGAACACAAATTTTCTCGGACAAACTTTTAAATGTTTTGTGAGCGAACACAAAGTTTCTCGGAAGAACGCAAAGGTTTTGTGAGCGAACAAAGTTTCTCAGACGAATTTTTAAATGTTTTATGACTTTTGTAAGTTTCTCGGATGAACTTTTAAATGTTTTACGAGCGAACACAAAGTTTCTCAGACGAACTTTTAAATGTTTTACGAGCGAACACAAAGTTTCTCAAAAGAACGCAAAGGTTTTGTGAGCGAACACAAAATTTCTCGGACGAACTTTTAAATGTTTTACGAGCGAACACAAAGTTTCTCGAAGGAACGCAAAGGTTTTGTGAGCGAACACAAAGTTTCTCGGACGAACTTTTAAATGTTTTACGAGCGAACACAAAGTTTCTCGAAGGAACGCAAAGGTTTTGTGAGCGAACACAGTTTCTTGGAGGAACTTTTAAAGGTTTTGTGAATTAATCTAAAGTTTCTCAGAGGAACGCAAAGGTTTTGCGAGCGGACTGGTTTTGCGAATAAATGCAAATGCAAATTTTCTCATTAATTATTTTTCAAAAGGGCTCCATAAATATGGACATATTAAATTTTGGATACAATTTTGACCAGATATTTTTATTTCAAAACATTTTATATACAAATAGATGGCCATTTAAAATTAACAATCATTCACATTTTACAGATTTTCGTCACTAACATGGCAAGAAGCCCAAATGTTGTACTATAACTGTAGTATGTAATTAGACACTTTAAAAAAATAATAATACTAATAATCTTGTTTTCAGGGTGCAAAAGCAAAGCTCACGGGCCGCTGCTGAAGGAACTGATGCAAACACAGAACTTTCGTGTGACAGTGGTGGAGGAGGCTGATGTTGTGGAGATCTGTGGAGCGTTAAAAGTAAACGTTCAACCATTTTATCTACTACTGTTCCTGGAGTATTTATCCACATTAAACTCAAGTAATGATTGTGTTTTTCTGATGTGTGTTTTTTGTAGAACATTGTCGCTGTGGGCGCTGGTTTCTGTGACGGTCTGAACTTCGGTGACAACACCAAGGCCGCTGTGATCCGCCTGGGTTTGATGGAGATGATCGCCTTCGCTCGGGTGTTCTGCACAGCCAGTCCGGTTTCTTCCGCCACGTTTCTGGAGAGCTGCGGCGTCGCCGACCTCATCACCACCTGCTACGGGGGACGCAACCGCAAAATCGGAGAAGCGTTCGCTAAAACGGGAAAAGTATGTTCGGCCCTCAGGTTTAAATCTTACCTTACTGTTCATTTGCATCATTTAATATTTCTGTTGGTTGTCAGTCTATTGAGGAGCTTGAGAAGGAAATGCTGAACGGACAGAAGCTTCAAGGTCCGGCAACCGCAGCAGAAGTTCATCGGATCCTCAAACACAAAAACCTAGTGGAAAAGTAACTATACTTTGGTTTTTCACAGTATGAGAAAACATTTCTGTCTCTTTTTAATTGTTGATGTTCTCTTTCTCTACAGGTTTCCCCTGTTTAATGCGGTTTATCAGATATGTTATCATAGTCATCCGGTCAAAGGGTTCATCACCTGCCTACAGAATCATCCAGAACACATGTAAATCTCCATTATGGCTGTTTTAGTTGTGTCTTAACACCATAAGAGTGTCTAAATGTTGTAAATTATCAGTACATAACATTTTATTTTGGGTAAAAAGCATTGTAAAGGAAGTTTGTCCTGTTTTAAAGTACTACACTCTCGCAAAGTATTTTTTAGCATTTCTAATTCTGTAATTTTGCAGCCAATAATGAGAAAGTGCCTTAAATTTTGAGTCCTTAAAAAGAATTAAATGAATATGCTCATGTAAGAAGTGCCATAAAAACAAATTTCATTCACACTTTGTGTCTTGCATCTCGAAGCAAGTGAGAAATGATTTGAGTTTGCTATCAGAAATGACTGAGGATGAGGCTAACATTGAATCCTTCAGTCCAGTGTGTCTCTGTACATTGATATCTCTCTCTAACACACACACACACGGATGAATGTGACCTTTACTTTCTAAACTCTATCTCTGGCGCACTACATGTTCACCTTTAACATTTTAGGTGTTCAACCTTTGACCTTTACTTGAGGGCAAGCAAACTCCTTAAAGAAACAGAACACTGATTTTAATTTTTAATGTTTTCAAACTGCACTGCAGAACAGATCTTATATTTACCGTACAACAGATATTAAAGAAAGGTATGTCTTGCGTGATTGTACTGTTTTGATTGGTTGCTAGAACCTTATCAGGTCAGTTTTTAAAAAAAAACTTTTTTTTCATATTCCAGATGTGAAATGTCAGTCTGAGGTTTGGCAATGTTACTTATTGGTTATTATTATTGGTTCTCAAGCGTTTCCTCTGTTAGAACAGCAGAATCTATTTATATCAACTCTTCAGTAAAACTAGAGTTATTTTTGGAAAGGTGATTTTCTGCTTTGGACACTAGAGAGCGAGGATGTGCTTCTCGAAATGTGTGCAATGCACTTAAATTAGGGCTGGGCGATATATCGCACGATATTGTTATGCGCATCTAAACTTAAACTTTTTTTATTTATTTTTTAAATGGCCGATGGTTTCGCTTGATAAGACCCTTGTTCATCGTCTGGTGTCGTTTAAAGCCCTCTGAAGCTTCACTGAAACTCTCATTTGGACCTTGAACCATTTAGACCCCACTGAAGTCCATTATATGGAGAAATTCTGTAATGTTTTCATCAAAAGCCTTAATTTCTTTTCGACTGAAGAAAGAAAGACATGGACATCTTGGATGACTTCGGTGTGAGTAAAATATCAGCAAAAGTTTTTTTTAAAGTGAACTACTCCTTTAATGCTGCTCACATGTGGCATAAATTTGCATTTACACATTAAATAACAGCTTTTTGATATTAGGGGCTGCTGAGGTGTGTCAGAGCAGACACAATTAGTCAGGCAATTACATTATTGCACTACATCTACACAGAGTTATTCAGGCACAGAGCAGCCTTAACTTAAATTGTTTTGTGTGATTTGATTCAACACTCTTTGGACAGAAACACCAATAATAACGGACTCTTAAAGAGGACTGTTCATACTGTTTATTGTCTTAAAAAAAATTTAAGAAGTCATATTGTATGTATTTATGTATTATTATCATAATTATTGTTATTTACCATAGGCTGCAAGGTGTAATATCAGGATGTTAACATTAATATTTTTTTATTTTTAACCTAAGATCTTCACAGTTTAAAAAATACAAATCTCTCACAAATAATTTAAAAATAAAAATTGCGACTTTATTTCGAGAGCAAGTAAGTCAAATGCTGTTTATTTCGATAGTCCTCTTTACACATTCTAGGCTAACTATCAACTAACTAATAATTCAGCGAGGTTGGGGTTAATAAGTTGACATGTACTTGCAAAGTTCGTAATTAGTTAATGTTTAAAGTGTACTATTCATACTTTGCATGTGACGTCACAAGTACTGGCTGGCGGGCAAGAGCGCTGTTCTCCAGCAACGAAACCCAATAAATTAATAAGTCAATGATCTTGCCAGGACGTCGCCAGTTTTAATATACAAAATTTCGGCCCCGTTCACCAGTAACAGCGGATTATCAGTGAATAATCAGTGAATCCCAGTTGTCTCTGAGGAAAGTTTCTAAAACGATCACTACAGAGGCGGGTGTTGGCGGTGATCCTCAGCTCTTCATCAACAAGGTTGGCTCTCTAAAAACCTCTTCTTGATGTGATCGTTTTTAGGGAATTTAAATGAAGATACCGATCTGTTTTGTACATGATCGCATCCAGGTAATAGCCTATGCATTTCTGTGTCAAATAGCTAGCTAGAAAACTGTAGGCTGTAGTAAGTTAACTAATAGGACTGACAGTCACTCGCGATTGAGCGGCGAATGTGCTCTATTGTTAGGGGAGATATGAGATCAGCAAAATGCGTCATCAAATAGGGGCTTGTCCAGGAGCTCATGGGCTCCAGTGCGTCATCGAGCCCTGTTTTAGCATCCCCCAAAAAATCGGTAAAATTGCAATGGTGAAAAACTATTTAATGGTCTAACTCGTTCACAGTCTTTGTAATATGTTTTAGCAATACATATGCAACATTTTTAATGCGTTTAGAACTTTTTTGTAGAATTGCCTTTACAGGGACTTTATTGTAAAGCTTTTTGTGGCACAGTGCTGAACTTGTTCAAATATGTAGGAGACGCGACTCGATATAATAAATGTAATAAAACATGGAGAGACTCTTGAACCTCAGAGTGAGAACTTTATTGATAAATGCAAGAAAAATACATTGTGACAACTGGAGAGCAGTAGTAGTAACGTGAGATCTATGTCTCTTTATTCATTAGTTTTACATGTCTTAAGGAAATATAAACAATAAATGTTTTTTTAAATGATCAGACACTGAAAATGCAAAGAGATAGTGTAAGCTTGAATAATAAACTAAATTTATAAGGATAAAAACACTAAAAGAACACAAAATACACTCGAACCTTTGATGTTCAGCGTGCTGCTTTAGATTTCAATACTTCCTGAAAAAGATGAACATATAAAGGCATAAATCAAACAAATATTTCTGCAAAACCAGTTTGTGAGAACTGTGACATCATCAGTTATGTACCTGACATGTGAATATGTGCTTGATCTTGTTCAGCTCTTCTGGATCTGATGTCATATACCAGAACAAGGACAGTAGCCACAACCACCAGAGCAGAGAGGACCGATAGATCACAGCTTCAGTAGGACCACAACAGTGGACAGACTCTGAGGAATTAAACATCAAACTGAGATCAGATCAGTCCATAAACGTTAATATCAGCACTGACCCTATCAGCACTGATGATAAACATTGTGAAGGGTAACAGCCATGAGAGAGGATTTTTTTCACAGAGGCTGAGAAACTCAAAATTTCAGTTACCCCTTTCATTTTTTTTTTGTGCGAAAAATTAAGTTCTCAGCTCTAGACCCTTCCAGAGCTGAGATATCGAAACTCAAAATTTCGGCCCGAAAAAAAAACGACAGTGGTACCCCTTACGTTTTTTTTTTTGGGCGAAAAATTACGTTTCTCCAATCTTCCCAAATTCTGATAGAGGGCCATGAGACTTAGACCTGAGTGCAAAAATGGAGGCTCTAGCCCCTTCCAGAGCTGAGATATCGAAACTCAAAAATTCGTCCCGAAAAAAAAACGACAGTGGTACCCCTTACGTTTTTTTTTGGGCGAAAAATTAAGTTTCTCCAATCTTCCCAAATTCTGATAGAGGGCCATGAGACTTAGACCTGAGTGCAAAAATGGAGGCTCTAGACCCTTCCAGAGCTGAGATATCGAAACTCAAAATTTCGACCCGAAAAAAAAAACGACAGTGGTACCCCTTACGTTTTTTTTTTTTGGGCGAAAAATTAAGTTTCTCCAATCTTCCCAAATTCTGATAGAGGGCCATGAGACTTAGACCTGAGTGCAAAAATGGAGGCTCTAGCCCCTTCCAGAGCTGAGATATCGAAACTCAAAAATTCGGCCCGAAAAAAAAACGACAGTGGTACCCCTTACGTTTTTTTTTTTGGGCGAAAAATTAAGTTTCTCCAATCTTCCCAAATTCTGATAGAGGGCCATGAGACTTAGACCTGAGTGCAAAAATGGAGGCTCTAGCCCCTTCCAGAGCTGAGATATCGAAACTCAAAAATTCGGCCCGAAAAAAAAACGACAGTGGTACCCCTTACGTTTTTTTTTTTGGGCGAAAAATTAAGTTTCTCCAATCTTCCCAAATTCTGATAGAGGGCCATGAGACTTAGACCTGAGTGCAAAAATGGAGGCTCTAGCCCCTTCCAGAGCTGAGATATCGAAACTCAAAAATTCGGCCCGAAAAAAAAACGACAGTGGTACCCCTTACGTTTTTTTTTTGGGCGAAAAATTAAGTTTCTCCAATCTTCCCAAATTCTGATAGAGGGCCATGAGACTTAGACCTGAGTGCAAAAATGGAGGCTCTAGCCCCTTCCAGAGCTGAGATATCGAAACTCAAAAATTCGGCCCGAAAAAAAAACGACAGTGGTACCCCTTTTTTTTTTTTTTGGCGAAAAATTAAGTTTCTCCAATCTTCCCAAATTCTGATAGAGGGCCATGAGACTTAGACCTGAGTGCAAAAATGGAGGCTCTAGCCCCTTCCAGAGCTGAGATATCGAAACTCAAAAATTCGGCCCGAAAAAAAAACGACAGTGGTACCCCTTACGTTTTTTTTTTGGGCGAAAAATTAAGTTTCTCCAATCTTCCCAAATTCTGATAGAGGGCCATGAGACTTAGACCTGAGTGCAAAAATGGAGGCTCTAGCCCCTTCCAGAGCTGAGATATCGAAACTCAAAAATTCGGCCCGAAAAAAAAACGACAGTGTTACCCCTTAATTTTTTTTTTTGGGCGAAAAATTAAGTTTCCCAATCTTCTCAAACTCTGGATTCTGATAGAGGGCATGAGACTTAGACCTGAGTGCAAAAATGGAGGCTCTAGACCCTTCCAGAGCTGAGATATCGAAACTCAAAATTTCGACCCGAAAAAAAAACGACAGTGTTACCCCTTACGTTTTTTTTTTTGGGGCGAAAAATTAGTATCCCAATCTTCTCGAAACTCTGGATTCTGATAGAGGGCCATGAGACTTAGACCTGAGTGCAAAAATGGAGGCTCTAGACCCTTCCAGAGCTGAGATATCGAAACTCAAAATTTGACCCAAAAAAAAAACGACAGTGTTACCCCTTACGTTTTTTTTTTTTTGGCGAAAAATTAAGTTTCCCCAATCTTCTCGAAACTCTGGATTCTGATAGAGGGCATGAGACTTAGACCTGAGTGCAAAAATGGAGGCTCTAGACCCTTCCAGAGCTGAGATATCGAAACTCAAAATTTCGACCCGAAAAAAAAACGACAGTGTTACCCCTTACGTTTTTTTTTTGGGGCGAAAAATTAAGTTTCCCAATCTTCTCAAACTCTGGATTCTGATAGAGGGCATGAGACTTAGACCTGAGTGCAAAAATGGAGGCTCTAGACCCTTCCAGAGCTGAGATATCGAAACTCAAAATTTCGACCCGAAAAAAAAACGACAGTGTTACCCCTTACGTTTTTTTTTTTTGGCGAAAAATTAAGTTTCTCCAATCTTCTCAAACTCTGGATTCTGATAGAGGGCATGAGACTTAGACCTGAGTGCAAAAATGGAGGCTCTAGCCCTTCCAGAGCTGAGATATCG